GATTTTCAAAGGTAGGAGATAGGCATCCACCAGCCATTGAAATTCAATGGGAATTGAGTGCCTAAGTCCCTTAGGCATCTTTGAAAATTCCAGCCTATATTGCTACTGCATCTGTCAAGATTTCTGCCCATCACCGTAGTATCTGAGTGTCTTGCATATGAAATCAATAGCAATAGCCAAGTCCTTAGTGGGATTCATGGAGTCTCTGGCTCTTCTCCCTTTTTGGGGGGCAGATTCACTCTACTTGAGAGTTATCTGGATTTTTATTATATGCTAAGTATTTTCCCAGTATTAAATGGATTTTACATGTTAGGGGTTCACTTGTGGCTGTGAACAACCAGCCATGGGCGAGGACAGCCTGAAGTGTGCTGCCCCATTGGGGTGCCAGGAGGCAATGAAATGAAAGCTGGAGTGCAAGGGGAGCTCTGTGCCACTCTTTGAAAGAATATGGATGTGCCCCCTACCTGTGTGTGGCCATTTCTGCTGCCTGGCACAGCGTGGTGCCACGGCTCCTCTCCTTCCCCTTTTTTGAGTTACTGGGTGCACTGCAATTGCTGGATGCAGAGTGCCTGCACTCAGGGAAGTGCATCTGGCCCACACCCTGCACAGAAGGGAGAAAGCTTCTTGTGCCCACTCCCCCGCTCCACAGAGGGCTGGGCACAAGCAGGCCTTTGGTGTCTCCGGGGGTCTGGCATTACTTCAACTGTCCCTCCATGAAAGGCTTCACACTGGAAACTGGAAGTGTTATGAACCTCTCACACACCCAGAAAAATTTTGACCCTCATACCACTGAGGAAAGAGGAGCCTAATCCATTTCTTAACCAGCTGAGTAAGACTGAAAATCGACCTAGGAATTTTAATGCTGCCCTTTACTTTTAACCAGTCCTACAGAAGAAAAACCAGCTGCTACATTTCTCAGGCAAACAAGCATCCTCCTGCATGAGAGATCTTTTCACAAAAAGCAGAGGAGCAATTAGATCAAAACAGACCCAGGGTTAATTAGCCTCGTCAGGCTTTTGAGTATTTTGTTGTTCGTGGATTTAAAACGAAGGAATCAGAATTCTAGTTTATGACATTAAAGGTCTGCGACAGCATAATCTTTTCTTCTGTCTCTGCCTTCGATTGTTGATCACGGTGAAAGTACTGGAGTGTCACAGGCCTATGTATGCCTATTATCTGTGCAATTCACAGTTTAAACAAAGCAGCGTGGATTTTGTTTTAGCCTCCCAGTTGTTTAGAAAGGTTCTGTTAAGAGCCTTTGGACCAAGTCCATGGCTTAAATGGGTGCAACTCCATGTTGTTGACCTATGGAGTGGGGTCGTTAAAAAGAGTTTTGTAAAGATTCTCAGATACCATTGTTGTCAACAAGGTTTAAATCTTGGACCTTCAGCATCAGATATACAGGTCTCTTCACCACTTGAGCTGAAGGTGACCTCCTTTAGGCTAAAATATTTATTTTTGGTTTTTATCCTATTATATAGACGCATCAACAATTGTGCTGGCTTTAAAAAGTGCACAGCTTTTAAAACACTTTCTTTCTACAGTATTTCCATTGGACACTGACAGCAGAGATTTAAAAACAGGTATTACTTGAAATCACACCCTTCTACACATTAAATGTCTAGTCTCACCTCAGTGTGGAGCACTGCCTACCAGCTGTCAGATATTGCTTAATATTAATTTAATTAGGTGTGAATTCTCTACTAAGTTGTCTAAGTGGTAAGCTTTGAACCTTTAGATGGCTAATGACACGCACACGTGGTCCAATGGGTAGTCTTTGAACAATGAACAATGAACACATTTTATTGACCTACTTCTTTTCCAGCTCATTAAACACAGCTGCACACAAATGATCAAGAGAAAATAATCATCATAAAACCTTAGAATGCTTTTTTATACAAAAGAATCACACAGAATGTTACTGGCTGTAAGTACAGGGATCATTTCACCCATCACAGTAGCCAATCTGTGCCAGCACACTACACAAACATCAGCTTTAGAAAGAAAGTAAAGAATATTTTATCCAACTGATAAAACTGGGGAAACACAGGTAGATACCCCACGTAATGTAAACACCAGAGCTGGAATGTAGCCAGGATACTGAAGTTAAAACAAATTACAGTGGGTAGCTAAAGCTTCAATATGAGTTCACACTGGAGAAACAGAAATTCTGTAACAAACCACACCTTAGAACAGTGCTCCCCATACTTTTGGGAGCTGTATCCCCTTCAGGAAAAATCAAACCAACTGCACCTTCCCCCCCCCAGCACTGCCACATACTGCTAAAAGCCTACACATCTTAATTTATTCATCTTCCGCCACCTCAGCTAACCCTTTGCACTCCGTGATGGCTACAATGCTAGTGTGGATAATCATAGTAAATCTCTCTCTCCTTTCTTACATACGTTAATTTTCAGAGTAGCAGCCGTGTTAGTCTGTATCCGTAAAAAGAAAAGGAGTACTAGTGGCACCTTAGAGACAGACCAATTTATTTGAGCATAAGCTTTCGTGAGCTACAGCTCACTTCATCGGATGCATTTTTACATATGTTAATGTACAGCTAAATCGTTAACCATGCAGACATTTAAAGTGTGATCACTGGCATTTGAATTAGCACCTGTTGAAATGAAAGGGTTAATTCATTACTGTTGTTTCAGGCTCTCTGCAAACTCAGGCAGACATCACTGCATTGGTTAAACTGATATTTTGTAGGCTTTTCTGCAATCATAAAAGACAGACACTTAAAAAATGAAAGCTGAGGTCCTGGAGAACTACAGCTGCTGTGTCCACCTCCCAGGTCATCATTCACGTGCCCCTCAAGGGGCCGTGCCCCACCCTTTGACTAATACTGCCATAATATAATACTAAGTCACAGATTCATTACCCATGCAGAAGGAAGAGTGCCTTCTACAGAGGTACTATGCACATTTCCCAAAGCACCAGAGTTTTTACTTGGTGATTTCCTAAGCACTGACCAAGTTCAACTTTTTAGCTTATAAAAGCTGCCAAGACCAAAACCCAAGGTGATGTGAGTACAAAAGGCCTGAAAACAATGTGAAGAGCATTTCAGTAGCTAAACTAATGCCAAGTGCTTGTTTTAAATTCATTATGTGCTTATCTTACCCTTTAATGGAAGAAGCTGCTGATTACTGTAGGAAAACCATGGACACCACTAAAATTGGAAGCATGTGATCAAAGCCTCTTATCTGATGGTCATAGTGAAAAAATCTTCATGCTCCGCTGATTTCAACAGACAGGGAAATGTTCCCTTTTTCTGGTCTGTGAGGGATCTCCTGACAGTCATCTTAATGTGGCCATTGCTGACTTCGCTTTGTCTTCTAATCAGCACTGGCAGGAAGCATGCTGTGTTGATTTCGCCTCCTGTGGTCATTTACAAAAAATACTGCAAAACCAGAACCTTGGCATGTAATCTGTGTTACGTGCATCTCGGACACAGGAAGTTTAGGGGTGTGATTAAATACTTTGAAATGGGCTCTTTTTAGATTGTTTGATAAACACACTGTGAATAAGTAACTGCTGTTGAAACAGTTTGCGTAAAACCAAAGGGAATATTTTACATTAAGGCTGGGAAAACACTTACCAAGTAAACTTGTGGCTTTGTCTCAACTCCTTTCAGTGAAGTGCTTCCCTTGAGCAAAAGGAACAACCTCAGACATTACTCTTCCTCTCTCCCTCCCCCTTCATTTTCCCCACTTGTCTCTTTTATCCATAACCCTGGCCTTACCCTTGAGTCTGAATTTATCAGCACTTCCTTCATCTCCCTTTTCTATAAATCTATCACCACATCCTGCAGCAGTGCCCATGTACGATGCTGGTCTGATTTCACTTCCGCTGTAATCTGCAATTGTAACTTCATGTTCCCTTGCTTTAACTACTGCTAACCCCTTCTTTATGACCTTCCCAAATGCTAGCCTCTCCAGACCCCATCAGGTGACAATGCAGGCCATCTCCTCCCAAAAAGTAAAAAATGGTACCAAATCAGTCACATTCTCAAACTACTGCAATGGCTCTCCAGTCATTTCTGGAGGCAGTCCAAAATTGCCCTTCATATTTTTATGCTTTTATGGACGTGCTGCAGCATATATTAAGACCAATTTCTCGCCTCATCTGCTATCTGTTATTGAATTCTGGAAATATATTCTTTACAGTTACTCTTTAAAGTGTTTTTCTTTTTTGGATGAAAGACTCTAAGCAAAATAAAATTGCACTGTAGAGTAGAACCTCACTTATTCTCATTAGCATTCACATTCAGAGGAACTGGTGTGGAACAAACTTCCAGAGGAGATTAGATAAATCCAGTCTGGCCAACCTTTAGAGTATGTCTACACTGGAGTTGGGAGGTGTAATTTCCAGCTTATTGGAAATTAGACATACCTGTGCTAGCTCTGATCCCGCTAGCACACTAAAAATAGCAGTCTAGCCACAGTGATATGAGTACTTGGCTAGCCACCCCAGTACTCATGGAATTGTACTTCAGGCAGCTAGTACAGTATGGGTATGTCTACTTGAACGGGAAATTACACCTTCTAGCTCAAATGTAGACCTACCTTTAGAAAATTCTACAAAACCTTCTGATGTGCTAAAGTTTTTCTACCATAAACATAACACTGACACCATCAACATCCCATCATCGCTCACTACCACACCAAAACACCCTACCCAAAGAAGAGCTTTCTATAACCAGATAAGGAAGGCAAGCCAGAGATACCATGGCCAATATATTTTATGTGGAAGGCACTCAGCTACTATGGTGATAGGTGGCAGTACAAGACACAGACAGACAGACAATCTGCCCCAGATTTCTTAGCAAATATTAAGCAGATACTGTTGTGAGGTCTCGTATTACTATGACTCCATTATTTTTATATAATTTGCTACAGGGCATTTCCTGGAATATTATGAAGTACTATAATAAATAATTGAAGCTAGATTGCATTTTTCACAATAAGCAAGCAAGGTACATTTTGTGATTCAGTAGCCAAGACTTTTATTGCGGGTACTTGCATCCTTACTATTTTGCAAAATTTGATTATCTTCAAAGGGTTTCTCTGGGCCATTAGAGTGCATTATTTATTCATACTGGTGCACTGTATCTATTCCAGGCTGTAAGTGCATTACAAAATTTATATAAAACAGTTTTAATAATGTATTAAAACAAGGCCCCCTACTAAGCCTACACCCATAGATCATACTGCATAAGAGAAACACAGCCTCCCCATCAGCTCTTCTTCACCTCAAAAAAACAATTAGTAAAGTTCTACTGAATGGCGGCTCCCTTTCCTGAGAGATCACCTCTCTCTCCGGGACACAGTGTCACATGTGAGATCAGCAGACCCTCTCAAGTTGAGCTGAGGATTGAGTGTTGGGGTGGGGGTGGGGGGGGAATCTTCCGTGTTGGAACTTGTTCCCGTCGCACTCCACTTCTCCAAATCCCAGATCTGCTAACCTTCTGGCCATGCTACAAAGCCCATCCTTCTGGTCTCTTCTCCAAGGATGCTGTGTCCTTTATTTACTTTGTGGTTTCTAATTTATGGAATGGACACATACAACTATATTTCAGAAATCTGAATGAATAAATAAAAGTAAATAAGTATGTAGCCATCGTTACAGTTAACAGACTATGGGGATAGAGTCACTTTAAGGGACTGAAAACTTGCATGTTGTCTCCATTCGTTTTATGCTATTGGAACAACCACATGCCTTATCTACCCCCCTGCCCCCCAAAAACCCCAAGTCTATATGTAAAGGTTGATGATGGCCTTTATTTTTTATACCTACATGGCCAAATCCTCTAATTCTCCTTACTCTAGCTGTCCCATTGACATCAAAGCCCACTCCACCAAAATCAATGGGACTACATGTGTGAATAAAATAAGAAAGGTTTGGCCATTATCCTGTTTTTGTGTGAGAAATTGGCATGTAAGGCACCGCTGAGTAAGAGGTGCCCACGTATGTAAAATATATAAAATGCCAGTGGTATGTCCGAAGGAAGGGGATGATTAATCTGAATGCTGCACTTCCACAGAATTATAATGCTATTTTAGACTTATCTCCTAATTAACAAAACCCTCAGAAAGGGACATTGGAAATTGCAAAGAGTAAAATTATACAAGAAATCCTCTATTTAAATTAGCCAACATTATAAAAACAACACTTAGTTAACTGTCTTAATTATAAGGCTATGTAATACCACTTCATCCATTGTGGTTATGTTCGAAGACTAGATAAGATATTTTCACTGACAGAATTAGTAACAGAAGTATAAGACCCTACAACTACGGAGGCCAAAAGCAAGTGTTGGTTGAAATATGCTAATTGCAGATGACATATAATAACATATTTTTCACTTTGGTATCACACTGCCATGTGATTTAATCCCTTTTGCCATCTGCTTTAAACAAATGGTGATGTTATTCCCAAGAGGAAAACATACTTCCCTTATGATTCACTTCCACCAAGCATCCCACAAACATTGCTTTATTAAAGTTGAACATAAAACGTTGTGTTCTGTGTCATGAGACAAGACTAAAACTTGTTGCCAATTTCAAATTTAAAGACGATTTTATTCTGCCTGTGAGGTTATCTCCTAGCATTAATGCATCTGTGCAACATTAGTGCTAGCACTGATGGAATTACCTTGTCTTACAAATATCTATACTTGTTCAATTAGCTGAATTACAACTATGCTTTGAGCAATGGGTACCTTCGATGCAGTCACTCATACTAAGGGTACTGGGAATGTGTCTAGAACAAAAGACACAAACTACTCATCTTAGAATTAATGGAATGCTGTCAACTTGGCATCTCGTCAATTTCAAAAACTGCGTTAAAAGTAGTTTCAGATACCACACCTGCCCATGAGTCTCCATGTCAATTTTGTGGGTTTGCAACCACATATTCCTCTATTTGAAAAAGTGTTTCTCCTCCTTATTCCTGGGTGAAAGACCTATAAAAGCAATGGAGGAATACAGGGCAAACAGTAAAAAGTGACAATATACAATATGTTGTCAAATGCACAGAGTAAGCAAACTTGGGGGTGGGGGGAAGGGTATTTTTCCATGCTAATCTGCATTTTTTTCCCTGCTAAAATTATGCAGATGGAATATTCAGAGCCCCTGTTTTGCTGTTTGCCATACAGGATTTCCCTAAATGAAATCAGAAATCCTATTAAGTGTGTACTATACTTGGGTGCAATTTTTTTTTTAAATGCAGATGTTGACTGCTGCACCAGATGACTTCCTAATCTGATAATTTAAAATGAATTGGTTCATTGCTGATGGGTTATGTAAGCGACAGTATGAGATATGCAAAAGAAGTTTATGTTTCGATACAAAATTTGGTATTTAAAAATAAACAGTTAGACAAATAAAGGAACTGTGATGACATTTTTGTAACAACAAGGAGTCTGGTGGCACTTAAAGACTAACAGATTTATTTGGGCATAAACTTTCGTGGGTAAAAAGCTACTTCTTCAGATGCATGGAGTGAAAATTACAGCTGCAGGCATTATATAATGACATATGAAGAGAAGGAAGTTACCTCACAAGTGGAGAACCAGTGTTGAAGAACTGAATCAGAAGAAGTGGTTTTCTACCCACGAAAGCTTAGCCCAAATAAATCGGTTAGTCTTTAAGGTGCCACCGGGCTTCTTGTTGTTTTTGTGGATACAGGCTAACAGGGCTACCCCCGATACAGTACTTGACATTTTTGTAACAGTTACTCAACATCTTGAAAGTCCCAACTGACGAATGAATCCCTATGAGCTGTAGCTCACGAAAGCTTATGCTCAAATGAATTGGTTAGTCTCCAAGGTGCCACAAGTACTCCTATTCAATAAAGCACTCAAACATGAGCTCAAAGTTAAATATGTACCCAAGTGCTGTTCTGAATAGTGATGGTTTTCAGAATCAGGGCTTTGCTAACTTGGAGCCCTGGCGAGACAGTATGAGCACTTTTAGAATGTGTTTAACACTATGTAATATAAAGTGAATATCACCTGATCATCATACTTATATTAGTTTTACATGGTGTGGGCCCTGTGACTTCAACAGAATTATTCCTGATTTACACTAGTGTAAATTCTAATCATGCCCATTCAGTGCATTTTTAATTTCCTGGATGGAAAGCACACTGCAGAAAATGATATGTAAATACATCTCACTATGTCATATCTAATGTTAAGGTTATTAAAATCAACATATTACTAAATACTGCATCTTAAATATTAGGTTAAAGCAAGTGAAACTGGTTCACACTCTTTAAGAGTGGGCTCAACAAAACAATCATCAGTTTCTTTGCCTCAGGGAGCAACTTTTTAAAAGGATTTAAGAGTATCTAAAAGTATAAGAGACTACAAAAAGGCAAACGGACTGGAAAAATAACTAAAGGAAAACCTCCTCCTTGGATGGGGATAGAAAGTCTAATAATAGAGTTTGCAGTGTTGTAGGCACGTTGGTCCCAGCATAAGAGATAAAAGGTAAGTGAAGTAATATATTTTATTGGATCAACATCTGTTGGTAAAGCTTCGGAGCTACACAGAGCTCTTCTTCACGTCTGGGAAAGGTAGTCAGAGTGTCACAGCTAAATACAAGGTAGAACAGATTGTTAAGCATAAGAAGTTAATACAAGTTGCAAGAGACCATTCAAGATGAAGTGGGCAATTAACACCTCTGCAGTCTTAGGACAAAGGAGGGTTAGTGGGTTACAGACTGGTGTAATAATTCATAAAACCGGTGTCTCTAGTGAGTCCATGATTTTTAATGTCTAGCAAAGTTATGAATTCAAGTTCCCTGGCCTGGGACTCACCAGCTAGACTTCGAATGGTTCACCTGAGTCTCCCTCCAACATACTTTGCTCTTTTCTATCTAGAACACCTGAATATTTATGAGGCTACCTGGGTCAACTCACTAAAGGGATAATGCTGCAAGGGGCTGAATGCCCTTAGCTTGACTACAAGAAGAGTTAAGGGCACTCAGCACATCATAGTGTAAAGTGTACCCCTATTCAGAGGGGCGGCACAAAGCCTTAAATTGACTTAAAGCCCACTTTAGCACTTGGGGAAGCACAAGTGGGATTTAAGTGGTGCACAGGTCTTGAGCTGGCCCTCTGCACAGGAATGAATTTTACCTAGGAGGCACTCAGCTCATGGCACACTACCCAATCCCTGAAAACAGGTTTGTTGCAATAAAGCCAGGCTAGGCTTCTGTACTTTGAAATGATGGCTAAATTGGGCAATAATTTGAAAATGATCAAGATGCCACCGATAGAGAAGCATTGTGAATATTTAAGCATGGGCGGTGGGTGGAGATCCCCTTCAGGGAGGCTAGCTCCTGGCTGCACCCCTTCTGCTTGTGCTGCCCCCTCCCCTCACAGCCAGAGCCCTGAGACCCACTTCCCCCCCCGCAGCTGGACCCACAAGCCCTTTCCCCCGCCACACCCAGAGGAGCCCCGAGTCCCCCACCTCGGCTAGGAGAGGCTTGGGCCAAATGCAGCCCTGAGCACCTCCCCTCACCCCATGGCCAAAAGAGCCCCAGGCCTGATGGAGCCCCCCACAGCCAAGCCACACCTTCCCAGAACCAAAGCTGCCCAGCAGGAAAAGCTCTTGTCTTTTCTCTTCTGGAAGAAGAACCTGAGCTTTTGATTTGCCCCATGCAGGTACCAGGATGGCTGGGGAGGCAGTATGTGTTATGCAGCTTCCCAGTGTTCACCAACAATCTCCCTGAAGTCCAGAGAGATTACTGAAGAACCCAGGAAGCTGAATAGCAGATACTGCCTCCTTGGCTACCTCGGAACCTTCACGAGGCATAATAGTAAGCAAAAACTTCCACCAAACTCACAACCAGCATCCGGCAGCAGCAGCTGCGCCAGGGGAGGCTGAGCCTCCTGTGGCCTATTATACCTGCCACCCATGTATATAAGCTAAATGAGAGGAGATGAATAATTGGTGCATCCATTCAAAATTGTCTCTGATCACTAAAGAAAACAACTCAAGATGTGAGGTTTTCATCCTTCCCCCAAAAATGTGTTTTATGCTCTCAGAAGTGTCAGAATGATTAATAGCGAAAAACGTGTATAAGTAAAATGGTGTTATGAATGTTTTAATCTTTTGCTTGTTTGGAATGATATCAATAATTTTTGGTACATTCCCAAGAAATATTTTTGTTATACTTTTCAGTACACCATACAGTACATGGACATATCTTGTGCTGAGATTGCAAAAAATAAAAAATCAAACTTCAATTTCCCCCCAGATTTATCCTTTGTACAGACTTCAATACAATTACTGGTGCAGATAACATCTGAATAGAAAATGCACTACAGCACCTTATATTGAAGCGTTCATATAAGACTTTAAAAGGGGTTCAAAGTGTACACATTAATCAAATCTAAGAGATAACGATTCAGTACTATGCATGGCTAAATCCTGAGGCATCATTGTGGATATGTACCCCGACACGTCAATTGAATTCCGGGAAGTAATTTATTCAATTCTCAAGCTATCCAGCCACAGAACTATATTTTCTTCCTCTTTCCAATTAGCTGAAGTAGTTAAATTATCTGCATGAAAGAAGACAACAATTACCCTAGAGCAGGGGTGGCCAACGTGTGGCTCCGGAGCCACATGCGGCTCTTCAGAGGTTAATATGCAGCTCCTTACCTAGGCACTGATTCTGGGGTGGGGCTATAGATGCTAACTTTCCAGTGTGCTTGGGGATGCTCACTGCTCACCCCTCTGCTCTGCCCAAAGCCCTGCCCCCCCTCCACCCCTTCCCCTGAGCCTGCCATGCCCTTGCTCCTCCCCCACATAGCCTCCTGTGCATGTGAAACAGATGACTGCAGTGGGCGGGGGGAGGGGGGGGAGTAGGCGCTGATTGTTGGGGGCTGCGGGCAGATGGGAGGCGTTGGGGGCTGGGGAGTAGATGAGGGACTACTGACGTATTACTGTGGCTCTTTGGCAATGTACATTGGTAAATTCTGGCTCCTTTTCAGGCTCAGGTTGGCCACCCCTGCCCTAGAGTATGAAGACACTTTTCTATCAATCATTTTCTTCCTTCTACTAAATGACTGTATGGGAACTAATGCCAGTTACAGCTTAAGGGAACTTGCCCTAGGTCTTTGGTAAGTGCTCTCTCGCAAACACACACGATTTGTAATCGTGTCAGCTATGTGAAGAAACCCTATGTCTTACCTTTTAAAATATTAATTCAGTATTATTCAGTAAAGAAATGTAGCTATTTTCATGTGGGTATATTTATAAAGTTAAATTGTGTGGCAGGTAATACACCATAGAAGATAGTATCATTAGCTTTTTGTTAATATTTATAGGCATTAAATATCTTGTTTCTGAAAATTATTTCATATCTTATTTTTCCAGTATTCCTACATACTTATTACAAAACACTTAATAATGCAGTAAAAGCAATTGCCTAAATGCAGTCAATTGTTAAAATCAGAACTGTACCTGCAATACAATTATTTGTGCATTGCCATTTCTAGTCAACTAGAAGCACAAAATATTCAACAGTTGTTTTTTAATTCTATTTCCACTTATAATTATAACTTGTGTGTATTTTTTCCTCAGAGAATTATAAGAATTCACAATAGCTTTCAATAGAAATGGCTGAAAAATTCAAAACACCTTTCACAATTTTGTCAAAACTTTGAAAATTCAAAAAGTTTTCACTAACTCGTTTTCCTACATTTCTGATTGGGTGATGTCATAGTTAAGAGCAATGGCACTTGTATTCCTCCTCCACGGTTAAGCAAGGGCACCCACTCTCAGGCTTCTGGCTCCCCAGCCAGCACCTCTTCTGGACAGAGGCCTGTCTCTCTCTCCATCCTGACCAGGTTTTTCCCAGGCTGCAGAGTTTCCTACCTACACTCTGAGATCCCGAGCAAGCCAGACTGTTTAAGCAGGCCTCCTTTGCCGCCTTCTTAGAGGCTATAAACAGGGTAGTTACCCACAGTTGTTATGACCTGGCTCTTTCTAAGCAAGCACATTTATTCTTAAGGTAAAAGCATTACAGGAAAAGCATATTAAAAACAATTAAAAAAACACCTAATAAGCTTACCAGAGATCACACCCTTCCCCCAAACTCCACAAAGACTCTGGTTGGTGTCAGTACTTCCAACTTTCCCTAGAGGATTGGGCCCTCCCTTTGGACTGAACGTCCTGCCCATTTGCTGGATCAGAACCAAGGCCCCAAGTCAGTTTAAACTCAGTTTATTTATCCAAAAGTCCATTCTTTGTCTGCTGGTCTCTGGAGAAGCCAGTTTGAACGAGTATATGCAAGTCTCTCCAGGTGGTGGTGCCTCTCAGGAGGTTTTCACAATCTGAGTGAATTTGCCTAATCATACCCCATTGTTCTTAGTTCTTGGAAAGCTAGGGTCCCCCACCCCAGGGAATGACATAGAATACCTGGCCCACAGTGAAACATAAATTTAACACAGTAAGATTTAACTTAATTCAATGAGGTCTGTCCAAGATATTGCAGGATATTGCCATACATGTCAGTCAGAATTTTGGAACACTACGGAGCAGAACTGACTTTATCCTGACGAGGTATCAGGAAATGTGTGCACATGATTAGAGATCTCCCTGAACTCCTGCAAGTTTAACAAAATGCATGGGGAAAAAAATCAGTTTCCTGATATGAAATATCCCCACAACTCAGCTTATTTTATGTGGGGTGATTTACTTCATTTCCATGTGCTGAGCCATTTGATTTTGCTTTAGAATGCCATCTGTCTTTCAGCAGAGAAGTTTAAAGTTCTTCTCATGCCGTACTCTGTGTACAGCAGCACATGATGAATGACAGAGCGAGGCCTGAATCATTCCGACTCACGCAGTGGAGGGCCGTAATACAAAATACCTTTCATCTGTTTTACAAACATTAAAATGGATATACAATATCTATCTGCGGGGTTCAACGTATCACCTGCTCTAGGAGTACACTATGGGTAACGTTTTTAAAAGTGCCTCTGTAACTTAGGAGCCCAAGGACTTGTCTACACACAGAAGTTCCACCAGGATAACGTAAAATCAATTTAATCAAACCAGTGCAACTTTTGGCACGTATTCCCTTCTGTAGGTTTAATACTGGTTACATTGGTTCAGCTTGCACCTGCACATTTATCAATGCAAGCTAAATAAATATCCATACATTTAATCCTGCATAAGTGTTGACACACAGAGTTGCATTAGTTTAACTACATCAGAATAAAAATCACAGTTTTAGTTAAACTGGAACAACCTTGACTAGGCCTAGGTCATTTAGGCATTTTTGAAAATGTTACCCTGTATTAATAGGGCCCTTACCAAATTCACCATCCATTTTGGTCATAGGACTTTAAAAATAGTATATTTCATGATTTCAGCTATTTAAATCTGAAATATCACAGTGTTGCAACTGTAGGGTCTTGACCCAAAAAGGAGTTGAGGGGGAATCACAATGTTGTGGGGCCGGGGGGGAGGAGGGGGTTGCAGTATTGCTACCCTTACTTTTGCACTGCTGCGGGCGGTGGTGGTGCCTTTGGACCTGGGCAGTGGGAGAGCGGCGGCTGCTGGCATCGGGAGCCCAGCTCTGACGGCAGAGCCACCAGCAGCAGCAGCGCAGAAGTAAGGATGGCCTGGTGTGGTATGGCCACCCTTACTACTGCACTGCTGCCTGCAGAGCTGGGCCCTCAGTCAGCAGCCGCCACTCTCCAGCCACCCAGGTCCAAAGGCAGCAGCACAGAAGGGTGGCATGGCATGGCATGGCTGCTGGCAGGGCGCTGCCTTCAGAGCTGGGCACCTGCCTAAAGCCGCCGCTCTCTGACCGCCCAGCTCTGAAGGCAGCACAGAAGTAAGGGTGGCAATACTGTAATCCCCACTAAAATAATCTTGCAACCCCCCTGCAAGTCCCTTTTGGGTCAGGACCCCCAATTTGAGAAACGCTGGTCTCCCCTGTGAAATCTGTACAGTATAGGGTAAAAGCACACAAAAGACCAGATTTCACGGTCTGTGACATGTTTTTCATGGCTGTGAATTTGGTAGGGCCCTATGTATTAATAATTAAGCTGATTTGCTTTGTTACACAATCTAAAACAGTTATAATGATCAGACTAAACTGGCCCATTTTTGATTATTATAGGGTAACTGATTGTTATTGCTATATGGGAAGCAAGTGTGTTAAGGATAATGTTTGCTCAAGTAAGACTTGAGCTGATTCTCTTTTCATGCATAAAAAAGGGAATTAAGGAGCCAACTCCTTGGTCAATGAAATTCTTGTTTGAGTAACAACTTTAAGATTTGGCCCAAGATAAATGAAAATAACACTGTGCATATGCATGTTTTCAATTTTTGATCACACTCAGTTCTGCTCTCCATTGTTTTTTTGCCCTGTTTTGAACATAACCCCTACACAGTTGGTTGTAGAAAGAGTGATCTTTCTGCACTGCCATGAACCAGGCTCAGATCCAATTCTCAGGATATTTTTATTCTTTGAGCTGGCAGGAGGTAATGTGTTCAGACCTCACCCAGTAATGCTAAATTGCCTTGTTTCACTTGGAATCACAGAAGTTAGTGTTAGGGGTAAAAACCCTACTAGGTCATTTAATCGATTTCCCTGCCAGTGCCGGCTTGTCCCCTACATCTATTAGATCTTATTTATTTCTTGGCTTTTTTAACCAGGTTCATCAGAGTGCCTTACGAACTGTAATGAATCAATGAAGATACTAAATAAGACCAGAGCTGACAAAGAACCTGAAGGCACCCCAGCTAGCTGCTTCCTTGAAAACTTGATACTTTGGAGTTTATCATTAACTTTTATTTAAATCCTTCAACAAGTTTTCAATCCATAGGACAATGTTTCTTGCTTGCCTGTATTGAGTGTGAGATTTCATGAAATAGTATCAACTGCAGGAACAGAATCCAAACATTTTATCTACAACTTTTCCTGCATCCAGCAATTTTGCATTTTGGGAGCAGGAATGGGCATAATCAAGGTCATACAGTAAGAGCTATTCTTCACAAACTCATACTACTTATTTTTCAAGATTCCTTTACTCTCTGAAGTTATGTGATTTTCCTTCCATGATTAAGGTGAGTCTTTCAATGCCATTTCTCAGTGGATCCTCAATGAGGTCCTGAAGCAAAGGATATGTTCAAGGATTACTCTAAGCACTAATCATCAGTTAGCAGTTATAAATTAAAATCTGTTCTGACTGAGAAATTTCAAGTATTGAACAGGAAGTTTCTTGCAGTAGCAACTTGTCTGCAGCCTTGATATTTTACACAGTAATGTGAAATGCAAGCAAACCTTAGCATGTTGAAAAAAGGCCTTGATTTGGTGACACACAGGATAGCTTTCGCAAAGATTGAGTTATTCATCTATTTTTGTTCCATTCCTCTGACTTCCTTTTCTCCTCTCCTGTCAGTTAGCGTAATAGAGTTGTCTCAGTAAAATCTAGTGTATTAACAACTCTTCTCACACATCACAATCAAATCGTGATCAAGTATCAGCCATGCGTCCATTGGCACACACACAACAACTCACCACTGCAATATTATTAGTGTTCCTTTTTACTACAGAATCGCCTTCATTTTTTTAGGAATAATCCCTCTGAGAGGTGATGGATTGCCTGTTTTGTCTATTAGATACAGATTTAAGGTGTTTAATTACCATTATTACAAGCATCCTTGTTGCTTTTGCAGGAGGAGGATACCTGATGGCAGGGAGCAGTAGATTTCCAAAGTTCATTGGTGATGGCTGGTTGATTTTCACTAGTCCTGGTTATATCTGAATTGGTGACGTTTATCCCATATACACCATCCTGGTACACTAGAGATGGATTTGATTTGTTGAGACTGTTTAGTGACATCTGTACTAAAGTTTCATTTATGAAGAATGAATTTTCAGCACTTAAGCTCTCCGATTGACTATGTCCCATTATCTGAACAAGAGAAAACAAGGAAAACATGTAGCTAACCACTTCACCTTTGCCTAACATCATCAGTCGCCTTCTTATACTAGCTGCCAGTAAGGGTGAAATTCATAACAAATGTCCACTTCATTCATCAGGAACACATTAAGTCGGTTGTGTTGTATAAGAATAATCAGCAAGAGTCTGCTAAATAATGTCTCAGCTCCATTCATAATACAAGAAAACAAATCAATGTTTGCCAAATGGAAAACAACAAAGGGCCAGATCCAGGGAGGAGCTGAGCTTTTTTGCTGTTCACTTTGAAGGGGTTAAACTCTGTCCCTCTGCTCAACATTGGACCATGTCACTTAGAAAGAAGGAGCAGAAATGGCAAGATAACCACTCCAGTTGCAAATTCATAGAAGCTTTTAAGAAGTCATCAGTGTCTTCTTTTCAAGCAGATCTTGAGAGTGTCATTCTTTCAACAGGCAGAGGGGGTTTGTTAATACATGAGGCCACCACTGAGACAGCCTTCGGGGACAAAGACTGAATTTCAGCCATAGCAATGAGGAGCTTATAGCTTTTAGTTAAAGGAATGGGAAGCAGAAACTTGACACTGGAGGCTCCCTAGACCGCTCTGGTGTTCCTCTCTCTCCATCACAGTCTGTTAGCACTTCTCCCACCCATTAAAACATTCAAATAGACACCCCCACTCCCTCCATTACAGTTGATGGACAGACTCTTTTTGTCATCCCTTTTAGTAAGTCCTGCCCAGTGAACCAAAGTGCATTGGAAACTGAAATACTCTCCAGCTGCACCAGTGCTCAGACTGGTAACTATACAGATTTACTCACATTCACACTGCTTTCACCAAGGTTAGATCAAATAGGGAGGTGAGTGGAAGGAGGCCCTCACTCACCTCTCGCTTTGAGCGCTGGTCTGGACCGAGCCTCAGCTGGGGCTGGTCAGGAACATATGTGATTTCCTGACAACTTTTCACTCTCGTGCCCCCAACTCCCAGGACTGTTGGGGGCGGGAATTTGGTTCCCTTCATAGCTCAGAGCAGTCTCAGAGATTCTGCAAATTGTGTCAACTGACAATGGCCCCCACCAGGCCTTTATACCATCAGGGTTTGCTGGCCTGAAGCACAACCCCTCCTGCCCGCATCTGAGATGCTGCTTGTGAGAGAGGGTGACACAGAGCAGGTTTTATACCCGCCAGGGATTCCCGCACTGGGGAAAGCCCCAGCTGCTCGCTTGAGCCAGCACTGTTGCAAAGGGACTGCAGCAACTGTTGAGGATCTGTCCCTTAGAAGTTTCTAGACAGTCTGCACCCCACACATGGATATAGCCTTCCTCTGAGAAACAGGGGTGTTCTCTTGCTCCAGAAAACTAAACATTTCCCCAACTATTTAATGGGAAAGCAGAAGTGGTTGAGTAAAATGTGGACATGATGATCCTTTCTATTTCCTCACGTTTATACCCAGGGGCCGAGTGTCATTCTGCAGTGCTCCTAGCCTTTGGGAAACCCTTGGATGCTTCTGAAGCTAGGTCACATACACACCAACTCAATACGTTGCCAAGTGAAGTATCAGCTTTGTCTCAGAAAAAACTTTCTGCAATTTCAGTATCTTAAGGGTAGGTCACTATAATAATATAGACTGGCTTAGGGTAAAATTATCGAAGGGAAATCATGTACCTCATTGCTCCCTGATGGAAATGCTGCAGGCAGACTGCTCTGGCGGCTGTGTTTCCAGTGCCACAATATCTTTTGTTGCATCTTCACGTTATCTCTTTCCTTTTCCACCATCCTCTGGCCCTCCCTAAGCCTTTCCAGGTTCTGCTGGAACTCCTGCAGCTGAAGCTCCAGTTCTCCCCGGTTCCGATGAAGAAGCTGTTCCTGACATAGGCAATCTCTCTCCCTCTCCTGCAGCTGATTCTCTCTTATCTCCTGCTCCCGTTGCTGCTGGTCACACTCGCGGGACCAACGCTGCTGCTCCTGTTGAAACTGTTGCTGAAGTTTGTGTATATTTGCCAGTTCTTCCCTTTGTTTTTCCAAATTTCGGTATTTTTCCTGGTCTAGCAGTAGGTTTCCACGAGAACTGTGACCCCGACTGGTCCTTTCATGCTCTTGCAGTAGTATCTTATGGATCTCCACATGGCTGTCCTGGATGGTTAAGGCTGCCTAGTCACCAAAACCAAATATTAATTTCCACCTGATTTTGAATTTTTTTAATAAACATTATGTAAAAATATTACTATTTTCCTTAAGCGTCAGCACTCAAGTGCATACTGGCTCAGGCCAAAGGTCCATCTAGCCCAGTATCCTGTCTTCCGACAGTGGCCAGTGCCAAGTGCCCCAGAGGGAATGAACAGGTAATCATCAAGTGATCCATCCCCTGTCACCCAGTCCCAGCTTCTGGCAAACATAGGCTAGGGACACCATCCCTGCCCATCCTGGCTCATAGCCATTGATGGACCTACCCTCCATGAATTTATCTAGTTCTTTTTTGAACCCTGTTATAGTCTTATCCTTCACAACATCCTCTGGCAAGGAGTTCCACAGGTTGACTGTGCATTGTGTGAAGAAATGCTTCCTTTTGTTTGTTTTAAACCTGCTGCCTATTAAAAGTACAGAATTCTGTATTCATGCATGTTCTGAGAGACATTTTGTAATGAACTGAATCATTTCACTCTTTTTCAGGGAGTTTCTAGTTAGTGATGAATATTATCATCTCATTTTTATATTACAGCCATGCCCAGAAACCCAAATTAGGATCAGGGCCTCATTGTTCTAGATACTATATTGTAATAACAACAATAAAGGGAAAGAGCTTATGCAGATAAACCTGAAATGCAGCTTTTCATCAGTAGATTTCGAAGAGCCTTACAAAAGGAGGTCAGTATCTTCATCCCCATTTTACAGATAGGGAAACTAAGTCACAGACTTGCCCAACGTTGCCCAGCAGGCCAATGGCAGAGTGAGGAATAGACCCCAGGTCTCCTGAGTCCCAGTCGAGTGCTCTATCCAGTAGGCCACACAATCCTTGTCTCAAAACAGCTCACAGAGAAAAAGGATGGTTCAGTGGTTAGGGACTAGCCTAGAACTTGGAAGATCTGGGTTCAAGTCCCTGCTCTGCCACAGACTTCTTGTGTGCCCTTGGGCAAGTCACTTAGCCTTTCTGTGCCTCAGTTCTCTCATTGTAAAATGGGGACATACAGCACTTCCCTATCTCACTGGAGTGTTGTGAGGATAACTACATTAATGACTGTGGATGAGGTCCACATAAGTAAAGAGATGAAAAAAGCCCTGTTTATTTTGTTATAGAATAACTACTTCTTTCACTAAGAGTTGTACTTAAGCAATTAAGCAACACCCTGCATTGGGGCTGGCGTGGGTGAGGGAATCCATTCCAGCAGGAATCATCTGAGGCTTCCAAGTGACTCCATTATAATTCCTGGCTCTTGCTTACTATATTGGCTGAGTTGCATTGCCTAGTTTGGAAGATGGGGAGGGCCATGGTTCTCTCTCCTTGCTCCTCTCTGCTCCATATGGTTGCTACTACAACAGAAGTAAACTATCATAGTTCTTAACATTAGGGAGAGATTATGGCTGGCCCCTGTGCAGAAATTTAAGGGGTGGCAAGATCACAGTGCCCTCACCCAGGAACATTCACCCTCTGCCAGGCCCGGTCTGGGTCTACAATACTGAAGTTATAGAAATGATAAAATAATTAACTATCAATTTCGTATTTTGCCAAACTATTGTATTTTGAAATTTTTAGGGAACGAAATTCTTTAGCTATTAGATAAAATAGATAGATACTCTGGCAAGTGGGAAAAGATCAGTGGCTCTGCCTGCCCATAAATGCCCTAAATCTTATAATAAATGACAACAGAACTGTGCATGTATATAGGGCCGCTCATTCAAAAGTATCAGGCCTGGTCTACACTTAAAAATTAGATCCACCTAACTATAAAAGCGGCAAAGAGTCCTGTGGCATCTTGTAGACTAACAGATGTATTGGAGCATAAGCTTTCGTGGGTGAATACCCACTTCATCGGTTGCATGTAGACTCAGGACTGTGATAAATTTCGAGCCCTGATTGCCATGGACAGGTTGACAAAGCCCCCAGTGTAGATACAGCTACGTCGATGGAAGAATTCTTCCACCAACCTAATTATTGAATCTTGGAGATATGGATTAACCTCATCAACAGAAAAAGCTTTCCACAGCTGCAGGACGTGCCTACTGCCATGCAGATGCTTGTGGAGTAAACAGCTATGCCACTGTCGTGCTTGTAAATTATATGTAACCTCAGATACTTTACAAACAGTAATTAATTAGGCCTCACAACACCATTGAATGAAGCCAAGCAATTATTAGCACCGGTCCAAATCTTTGGACTGAAAAATTTCCTGTGGGAAAATGTGGCTTTATCAGAATTAAAATTTTTCATGGGAAACGTCATTTTTAATTTTTTTTCAATTTTTCTTCAACAAAAAAAATGTCATTTCAAAATGTCAAAAATGTTGTCATTCTGATTGTAAATGTCAACATTTTGTATTTCAAAGTTTCTGAATCAAAATTTTTCAGAACTTTTCCTTCCAGCAAAATTTTTGATATTTCAGTGTTTTGTCTTGATGTGAGATGAAAACTAATGTTGAAAGACGGGATTTTTCTGTGGGATGGAAATTCCACTTTTTGACCAGTTTGGGTAATTGTACCCTGTTTACAGTTATGAGGTTAAATAATATAGCCAAGATCATACAGCTGGCAACAGAACCTAGAAGTCCAACTCCCAGCAGGTTACTCTACGCATTAGACAAAAACTGTTCAAAGTCTTGGCTTTATTGTTAGGAGTCAGGAATCTATTATGCAAGAGCTATCTGTGCAATTTACATAATCTGGGGAGTGTTTTAATTTAAATATCCAAATTTTCCAAGATTCTGAATGGTATCTGGAAAGGAGATAAGGTGCAATTTGACTGATTAGTTTAGATCCTCCATCTTATTTTCTCCACAGCCCTTCGGATTGTACAAGCCTCTCCTGGAAAAAGTTTTCCAAAAGAAGTATTCTTCTGAATTCTTGGAAGGAGAATATCATTGTAGCATAATATAAACCAACACGTGTTATATTACTTTATTATTTAAATTACGCAAGAGTAAAAAGTCAATAGAATGTGACATGGTGACAGTGTCTGAAAGTAGGGGAAGATAAAGAAACTTTTTCTTAAGGGAAACATTAATAGATGTATTACTGTACGAAGTTAACAGAGTAATCACCTGTATGCTGTACAAGAGGCGGGTTAAATTCTGGATTGCTTGTACAATCTGGAAAAGAAGAGAAGGATTTGCAAAACTATGAAAACTATAAAGAATAACTAAATAATACGCTCATATTTGGACTTTATACTCACCTCAGTCGGTGTAGAACCTGAGAAATTCATGTGTTCTACCTACAATAAATGTAAATACATATAGCTGTGAATATCTGTTATAAACTTTGAAATAGGATATTCTAGATAATGTTTTTTCCTAGCCCAAATACTCATATTGCTAACTCATGCAATACTAAGTCAAACCTTTTTATGTGTCATGTGACAAAAGACAGAAACAGTAATCTATGAAGACTAATAATTCACCAACACCAGAAATTACTTGGAAATCACTAGCGATCCCAAGGACAACTGTAAAAACAAAAGTATTTCATCTACAATTTTAATCCCCACATGGACAACTCCTGCAGAGAAATTATATTTCCATTAACACTTTGTTTCCTTGACAATTTTGCAAATACAGTATCCTGATTACAGAGTGTACAGTAGAGTGACTTGTGTTACTCACAGTCAGTTGTAACAGATTTCTGAAGAACCACAAGCTATGTACTAACACAGCAAGAAACCACAACAGGGTTTATATTAACAAACTAGGGTGAATGCCTTAGATGTGTTATGAGGCATGAAGCAGAAGGGTGAGTGCATTCAGCCTCCTGAAAGGTACGTCAATAGCCTACTAATATGCATCCTGTCAAAGCTTGTTGCTATTAGAGCCGGGTCATTAATTCTACATTTCATTTTTTTCTAAGAACCTTTTTAAAATTCGGGAGTAAGGGTGTGGGTGGGGGGTGGAGAAGTTACCCACAATCCTTCTATCATGAAAAACAGCTCCTATGAGAAGGATGAGGAAAAACAAATAGAGAAAAAGCCAAACACAATCCTTTCTAGACTACTTTGAATACACTTGCTATGTGATCACTGTTACGCTGTTTTTGGTTGCCTAGAATATCTGGACTCTCTCTCACTTCTCCATGACAACAGCAGCATCTTCTACAGCACTTTGTGGACCAAAACTCACTGCTGATCTTACTTTCTATTATAAAGAGTAAATCAGGGGCCTAATTTAGTTTTGATAACCAAAAGTGATGACGGAAAGGCCACAAGCTGCTGCTGAGAATGCAGCCAAGGTCAAGGGGGAAGTGGAAACATTAAACTTGATACATTTTTCCCTTCCCTTTCCCTCTCCATCTTTTCTGTCTTCCCTCCCCACTGTAAACACTTTAGCTGAAAAGCTGCTCCCTTAGTGCTGCTCAGCTCTGCAGCAGATTCCCTGCTGAAGTCCCAGTGCAGCAGGAGCACTAAAAAATGGAAGAGCTGCTGCCTGCCCTTGTGGCCCAGTTGCAGAGCTGAGTAGCACTGAAGAAGAAGCTGGGCTGCTTTGGTTGAAGTTGCAGTGGGAAAGAGGGGGACCATGAGGCAGCGAAAGGGAGACACGAAGGAGGGAAGGGGAAAGAGAAGGACAGGAGAGAAGGTTGGCACAGAAGGCAGGGCAGAGGGGGATTGCTATAAAATCCTACAGGTCTTATGTTAAATGGAGTGTCTATGGGGGAAAAGATGACCAACCATTCTCCCTTGTTTATTCTTATTAAACCTTTTAAATTCCATATAATGGGCATGAGATGGAACTGAGATCACAGCTGTGCCCGGCTGGCAGCTGACATCACTAAAAAGTGCCGAATGGGCCAATCAAAACATAGCATTGGACAATCAGTGCCCATGACCATTCTCTAAGACAGTGGTTTTCAAACCGTGGATCGTGACCCAGGACTGGGTCACAGAATGGAAAGCACTGGGTCGCAGCGGCTCTGGTCAGCACCGTCAACTGGGCCGTTAAAAGTCCCATTGGCGGTGCTGCCCGGCTAAAGCAGGCTAGTTCCTACCTGTTCGGACACCTTGTTGTGCCCTGGAAGAGGCCAGCAGCAGGTTTGGCTCCTTGGGAGGAGGGAGATGGGGAGGCGGTGCCTGCAGGTAAGAGCTGCGTGGAGCCACTTACGTGCCTCCGTCTAGGAGCTGGACCTGCTGCTGGCTGCTTCCGGGGCGCAGCATAGTCCATAGCGTCAGGATAGGCAGGAAGCCTGCCTTAGCACCCCTGCTGAGCCGCTGACTGGGAGCCACCTGAGGTAAGCCGGTGCCCCAATCCCGTGCCCCAACCCCTGGCCCCATCCCTGAGCCTCCCCCCCCAACCCAGATCCCCCTCCTGCGTGCCAAACCCCTCATCCCCGGTCCCACCCCAGAACCTGCATCCCCAGCTCAGAGCCCTGACCCCCTCCCACACCCCAACCCACTGCCCCAGCGCTGAGTCCCTCGTACACTCCAACCCCCCCAGCTCTGTTGGATCCTGGGCATCAACAATTTTCTTCAACTGGGTCGCCAGAAAAAAAGGTTGAAAACCACTGCTCTAAGAAAGGTTTGAGAACATCGGCTGCCTTTGAAATCCCTTGTCTCTTCTCTTGTGTGTGCTTGCTCTGCCACCTCCTGGTGGTTGATTTACTACAAAGCAAGAAACTAGTTCCCAGCTGTTTTGCCTTGGAAGCCCCAAGTCTGCAATGGGTCTGAATGTGTCTCCTCAAACCCCAGGTGGGATTGGTGCATCTCACCTAGTTTTTGTCCATTCTCTCTCACTTTTACCCCTCTGATCTCTTTTTTTCTTTTTGTCTTTTCCCTGCCATTTCTAAGCATTTTTACAATTTTGCTTTCCATTTTAAAGATTTCCCCCCCATCTTTCTCTCTCTCAACCCTCTTTCCCCTTTTTCTGCTTCTCTGTAAAGCTCCCAGTTTGCCCCTTCTCTCTATAGGAAGGCCTTAGTTTTTGCCCAATTTTAATCCCTGTTCTAACTTTTTGAAAAAGCATCTTGCTGCTGCCTGAAATGTTTCATATGTATGCTCCATTAGGGAGAGATTTTTGAGTCCAACAGTTTGGAATTAATTGCATGAGTTGTTTAAAGAGTTAAGGGATTTTGAAATATTGGTAGTTTCTCTTATTTTGAAATTGTTCTGTTTTGTGTCCACTTAAAATTCAACAGTAACTTGTTGTAAGAACACCAAGTCTGTTTTATATGGGAGTTGGTAGTGAGGTGAAAGTCACCGTGGTAAGGACAGCCAGCACATGTCCTATTTGTGCCATCAGAGATCTATTCCATGCAGGGGCTTTCACTACCATGTGTCAGAGAGGGGAGTGGAGGGAGTGCCATTATCTGCCCAACATAGGTTGGTGTTAAGTAGCGGGTCAGGATGGATCCGGGAACCTTGACATTGCACAAGTGGCTCAGAGTGGCCCTGCAGCTGCTACTCCAAGCCCACAGGCTTGTAAGGCTGTCACAGTTAGCTACAGTGACCTTCATTTCTTTATTTGGGCTTAATAAAATGCACCCATCCAGTGCTGTGGGCACAGATACAGTCCTTAAATACCACATTATTATTATTTATTTATCTGCACTGCAGGAACCTCCAGTCTGGATTGCAGTGGCCATTGGGGTGGGTGCTATACAAACACACAGGAAGATAGATCATTTACAGTACCTTATCCCCCATCAGAGAGCCTGCCTCTTCATTCACAGCATGACAAATCCTGGGACTGACATCACAAGATTCTTCGTCTCTTTTCATTTCTGTAATTAGTGATGAAAACACCAACAAAATGTGCGGGGTGGAGAAAAATAAGAAAAATGCTAAACATTACACAGTACACTGCTTTTTTGAATAGAGAAACAAACAGCACAGTGTGTGTTAAACCTACAGTATGCTGAAATTACAGATTTACATAAATTGTCCCCAACCCACATATAGATGCTGATGAGAAAATACAACTGAGAGAGAAAAAGTGGCATTTCTTCCTTTTCTATCTCAAAAAATAAGAAATGCCCAACTTGCAAAAAAAAAAAAAAAAACAACCCCCAACAAACACGTTATGAAATAAATATAGCTGGAACTTTACTGTATTAGCAGTTTTACAGGGTTTAGTACCAGAATTTTCAACTGGTTAAGAAATCAACACTGTATAATGGCTCTAATGATTGGAATGTCAAGCTCTGCACATCAATTGATGTATAGGGCCTCTCATGAAAGTCAGCAGAAATTATTTAAAAGGCAATATATGCTTGCTATGGAGTTCAACAGAAAAGACAAGATAATGTATTTTATACATATATGAAATATTAATGTGGACTGAAGGAAGGCATACATCAAGGCGGATCCTCATCTGGTGTAAATTATCCACTGACTTCAATGAAGCTATGCCAATGTATACCAGCTGAGGATTGGATTTGTTGTATTTTTTTATTACTACTATATTGTTCTTTATTGATCCTGGACTGTTATGGATTGCAGAAGGCTGGGAAACATCCTGAGACAATTAGTACTGTTATCGGGGCAAATAAAAGTGTCAGGTTTTACTTACGAGTCGGAGATTCAAATATTTCATTGGCACTAAGTGTGTTTGTCAAGCTTGCGTCTCCAGTAGTCGCCTCTGATGACTTGTTTGCATCATTTGCTTGTGATGATGTTACAGCAACATGGAGGCTTTCAGCTGGAGAGGAAAATATGTGTTATAAAAACCAACGAAATAGCTGCATTCTGCATAAATAATTACAGTATTCTGTTACTGGAAAGTGATCCCCTTGGCAATTGCTGTAACGTTAAACTCAAAACCCGGATGTCTAAGGCACAGTCAAGAGCAACAGAGATGGGAAGGAAAATCAAAATTAAAAATGGGCAGAAAAAGAAGGATGTGTGTATGCTCTATTATACTTAGTTGTAAGTGACTTACACAGGGTTCCCATATACATTATTGTTTTTACCCTATAACCAAGAGATAATTATCTCATAAGATGCACCCTCAGAGAGGTCAGGCTCCACTATGAAAATGGAGATACATCTTTCTAGCATCTAAGTAATACCTTCTTGGCAACTGATGAACTTACTTTGAGAACTTGGGGTTTTTCCACTGTAAATCTATGTATTTCTCATCAGACAGAATGATAACATTATAGTCAGACAGTACATTTAATTCAAATATGACTTGTTTGAAATAATAGAAGAAAATATTCTTCCATCCATGAACACCTACAAAACCTGGACAATTTTTTTCCTACAGATTTCACCCATAATCAGTCACAGTTTTCTTCTTTGACAGGGTTGGATGTGGGGAAGCAGTAGATGTGCTACATCTTGAGTTCGGTAAGGCTTTTGACACAGCCCCACATGAAACTTTCATAAGCAAACTATGAAAATGTGATCTAAATGAAATTACTATAAGGCGGGTGCACAACTAGTTGAAAAACCATACTCAAAGAGTAGTGATCAATTGTTCACTGTCAAACTGGGAGAATGTATCTAGTGGGGTCCTGCAGAGGTCTGTTCTGGGTCTGGTACTATTCAACATTTTCACTGATGAGTTGGATAACAGAGTGGACCGTTTACTTACAAAATTTGTGGAGAACACTAAGCTAGGAGAGGTTTCAAGCACTTTGGAAGTCTGGATTAGAATTCAAAATGACCTGTGGAAACTGGAGAATTGGTCTGAAATCAACAAGATGAAAATCAATAGAGAAAAGTGTAGAGTACTATGCTTGGACAGGAAAAATCAAATGTACAACTATAAAATGGGGAATAATTGGCTAGGCAGTAGTACCGCTGAAAAGGATCTGGGATTTATAGTGGATCACAAATTGAATATGAACCAACATGATGAAGTTGTGAAAAAGGCTAATATCGTTCTGTGGCATATTGACTGGAGTGTTGTATGTAAGACACAGGAGGTAACTGTCCATATCTTCTTTGCACTGGTGAAGCCTCAGCTGGGTACTGTGTCCAGCTTTGGGTACCACGTTTTAAGAAAGATGTGGACAAACTGGAGAGAGCCCAGAAGAGAGCAACAAAAATGCAAAAGAGTTAGAAAATCTGACTTATGTGGAAAGGTTAAAAATTGGGCATTTTTAGTCTTGAAAAAAAAAAAAAAGACTGAGGGGGGACCTAATAACAGTTTTCAAATATGTCAAGGGATGTTATAAAGGGGACATTGATCGATTGTTCTCCATGTCCACTGAAGATAGCACAAGTAGTAATGACAGGTTTCAGAGTAGCAGCCATGTTAGTCTGTATCCGCAAAAAGAACAGGAGGACTTTGTTAGTTTCTAAGGGGCCACAAGTCCTCCTTTTCTTTTTACAAGTAGTAATGGGCTTAATCTGCAGCAAGGGAGGTTAGATATTAGTAAAAACTTTCTAACTATAAAGGTAGTCAAGTTCTGGAAAAGGCTTCCAAGGGAGGTCGTAGAATCCCCAACATGGGAGGTTTTTATGAATAGGTTGGACCTGTCAGGAATGGTCTAGGTTTACATGGTCCCTTTTCCAGCTCTACATTTCGATGACTCCATAAAACATGCAACCCACAGCATCACCTCCCACAGCACGAGAGTAGATGTTTCTTGGAAGTCTCTTATCCAGGTATTCACGTAGCTCAACCCTGCTGAGCTTTTGAGACCTTGCTAAACCATACCATAAAGCAATTTGGCTACAAACTAAGTGGATATCAATGGATTATTTACTTCAAATACCACCCTTGGGGCCTGTCTAAACCATAGGAGCTGGAGCACCCATGGAAAAAAAATTATGCCCTTCCTCCCCCGAAATACTTCCTGCCCGCTGGTGGCCCCACTGATCAACTCCTTCCTCTTCTCCCAGCACCTCCCACCTTCCACAGATCAGCTGTTCCATGCTGTGCAGGAGGCGCTGGGAGGGAGGGGGAGGAACTGGGCCAGAAGAGGCTGGGCGGGGGTGTAGTGAGGGTGGGAAGAGTCAGGGTGGGAGCTTGGGGGAAGGGGTGTAGTGGGAGCGGGGCTCGGGGCTGAGTGGGGGGGTTAAGCACACCCCAGGGAAAGTTGGAAGCCGGCGTCTGTGATCTACACAGTCGCTGCTTCATTTCCTTCTAGACAATCTCACCTTCCCTGAGTGCTGCTGCCAACAATGAGGAAGCCTGTGGCATTTCTCCAGAGTCAGGTTTGATAAGGAGATGTGGTTCCACATGGACATCCTCAAATCCACTCATATCTCCAAGCTCTGCATAGATATGCAACTTATCTTCCAAATAACTGCAGATCTGCTGGTCCTGGCTACTCAGAGATTCTATTAATCAAATTTGGACATATTATGTTAGCAATAACACCATTCTGTTCTGAAGGTAAAGTACACTTCCCACTCCTCCTCTTATCCATCTGCCACATTATCGTTGCTAATTCAAAGCTACTACGTACTTACAAACAAAGCCGAGGAATGACTCAGTTTGCATGATACCTTTTGTAAACTGAAAGGGACAAGATTCATTCCGTCCATAATCTGCACTGATGAAAGTTGACCCAGATTCTGACAAAGTCCCCACAGTGGCGGAAAGTCTGACCATTGAGGAGTTCTGATGATGCAATCTTGACTATACTGTGGGCCCCTCGGCCATCTGATGCAGCCCTCAAAGTGGGCAAATTCCAGGAAGCAGGCCTGGCTAAGGCAGCTAGAGGAAGTGAGGATTCTGTGCATATCTAATCAGCCTCCACCACAAAGGTCCAAGTGGAGATCTAAAGTTGTCCTCACCATTGTGACCAAATGCACCCCAGTATTTATATCATATATGTGATTGTAATCTTTGTACAAAATATGCCTTGTGAAGTATCAATAACCTGCAGGTCAATAATATCATGGTGAAATGTGTGTAGCAACATGATATGTAAATTTATGAACATAAGCTGAAATTATGAATGAAATGTTCCCACCAGACAAATCAGGGTGAGAGGGGGGAAACCTGTTTTTCAAAGACAAAAGACAATCTGGCACCTCTAGCCACATGTCATCAAATCTGACTGACAATCACCCATTAGGTGGCGATTCCTTGGCAGTGAAGGGGGCGGGGCGGGAATAGATCAATTCTTCATTTTAACAAACAACAACATGGAACCTCTTTCACCACGAGACTCTTGTCTCAATCCTCACAGTGGGAAGGAACTTTATCTAGGGATAACCCTCAGGAAAATGCATTTCAAAGGCTGCCTGGACTGTAACAGTGAGGAACACCCCAGACTCTCTCACTCACTCTTTCTCCCAAGAAGAGAAAGGAACCAGCCTTTGGACTTTGTGAGAGATCCTGACAATAAAATCTGATCAACAATATTGCTGGGAACCTGTGGTAAGAATTTTACCTTGAACCAAGTCTAGTTTGTTAAGTTTTAGTTACTAGAAAACATTCTATCTTTATTTCTCTTGTAACCATTTCTGACTTTAATACCTTGTACTTATATTCACTTAAAATTTCTCTCTTTGTAGTTAAACTTGCTTTAATCAAAACTAATCGTGTGTAGTGTTTAAACTGAATTGTTTGGTAACTGCAGTTAAAGTAGCAAACTGTTGTTCACTGACCCCTTCCAGGGGCAACAGACCTGTAATATTGGAACTGTCCAGGAGAGGGCTGCACAGTGCAGAACACATATATTTGGGGAAAGTTTGGGACTGGAAATGTGTTGAGGTGACCCTGAAAGTGGTTACTAAGGCTGCTGGAAGCCAGAATGTGGCTGGTGTGTAGCTGGCAGGCTGCAGCTACACACAGGCACACAGGGTGTGACTTGCATGCTATTTGGCAGTCTGTGAGCAGCCCAGGTTTGGAGCGACAGCAGCAAAACATTGTGAGGCACCCATGGTTGCAGGGCAGGCAATGACAACCCCTCACAGGTCTGGATTACACCCCTGGAACGTAATACTCAAATGCTAGCAACTCTACCACTTACTCTCCCCTGGAGTCAATCGAGCAGAAAAGATGTGCAATTTGTGTCTCACTGTGTCAAAAGTGCTAAGCCTAGGCCTAAGTGCTGCATGTTTAGATAATACACAATGAAGTAGTGACAGATGAGTAGTTATAAAGAGATACAAATCCATGTAACTACTGAAGGTTCAGGCTATTTCGGTAAATAAAGAACTATACCTGTTCAATGCTTATTTGAAATCATCAATTTCTTTGGCTTTTTCAATACTTTTTCTTGTATTGATTGCAGTGGGGTAAAAATATAAAACAGGTGGATACAATGAAATATCAAAGAAACAAATATGTCTAGGCTCAAGTCACACACATCAAAGCCCTCCCTTGCTTTACCACTTCTGAAGCTAATCTGTCAATCCAACCATCCTGAAGTCATCACTGTGGTGTCTGAGCACCTGTTGTACATCCCTTTATTAGTCAGTAATCCAGATTATTTTTTACACTCCTAACTCTCTGGCAGTGGAATTTTAAGCGTAGTGTGAGAGGCACTGTACCTTGACATTTTTGAATCTTGGCTGCTTTGGCCTCAGCTATCCGTCTGTCTTCATCAGATTCGCTAATTTTTCCTTCTTCCTCTGGGCAACTTTAATGGTGAAATGCAAACAAAGGCAGATAAAGTAAAATCTGTATATCACACACACACAGAAATTTTTCAGCCGTAAAAAATAAAATGCAACGTTAGCAACTTCTGCTCTAACAGAGAAGCAGACCCTTCTGCAACTTCTTCTAAAATTAAGTAGTTCGAAACTAAGCTCTCTGTTCCTCTTCACCACAGTAGGACTGCCAAAAATAAAAAAAAAAAGAAGAGCTACAGCTGTGCAAATATGTCATAACAAATCTTCAAACCTGGCAAATATTCAGTCCAACCTGAGTTCACTGAGATTTGCAAATTGGGCAAAGATTGAGACCACACCTACTTCTTACATGTCCCCATTCTGTGGGCTAATAGTATGCCTTGACCCTTCCCTCCAATGTCTTTAAGAATGAATGGATGGCCCCCTCATAGCTGTGGTACTGTAAAGATATTTTGGGGGATTATCAGGAGCCGATTTACCTTGTCAACTAAACCTGAGGCAGTAGGCCAGCTGGCCATCCTAGGAAGATATGAGGGCGATTTCCCAAGGACATGAGAAGGTCTGGAGGCCTACAGCACCCCAGAATATCATGACTACCAAAGACTAGGGAAAGGGAACCTGAGCTGGCTTGCACATGAGATCTCACGGGGAAAGGATGGAAGCTCTGAGAAACTCAGCTGTTTGGCCAAGTTTCACTCTGAGGTTTGGGGGTTTATGTGAGCCCCAAACTCAAAGAAAAAAACTCCATTTCACCACTGAAACATATGGGTGACTCCAGTGAGTATTTGGCAATGCACTAAACCTTGACATAGAGTAGTGGGAGCCAGATACTGATGTCAAATGAACCTGAGCCCACTTATGCCATTGCTGAATTTGGCCATGGGGTGAAAATCCATGTGAAACAAAACCAACAAGCAAAATGGCTTGCTGAGCTCCATGGAAGCCTGAACTGACAGGCTTGGCACAGCTCTAGTGATATACAATTCCTGCCATAAGACATGCTCCTGCTTTGCATGGTAAAAAGAAATACAGACACCTTCCTGTACCTTTCCACTGCATCTTGAATCTGCCTCATCCAGTTATTGCGTTCTTCTTTAGAATTTGTATGAATCTCATACATCTCAGGCCCTGCAGATGAAGCACTAATCAGAAACATCCCTCTTTCTTCATTGGCCACCTCTCTTACTATCAGCTTCTGAAGTGATATAACTGAAGGCTTCTGGTCCTATAGAAAATAATCATGACATATGCAGAAGAAAAATTATCCTATTACAAAAGATAAGTATTTTTAAAAGCACAATTGTTATTTTGTCAAATTAATCTTAGTCTTGACTTTTATGGTCACTCTCTAAGGCCTGGTCTACACTGTGGGGGGAGGGAAAGGATCGATCTAAGTTACACAACTTCAGCTACGTGAATAATCGACGTACTTAGATCTACTCACCGCGGTGTCTTCACTGCGGTGAGTCGACAGCTGACGCTCCCCCATTGACTCCGCCTGCATCTCTAGCTCTGGTGGAGTACTGGAGTCGACAGGAGAGCGCTCGGCAGTCAATTTATCACGTCTAGACTAGACGTGATAAATCAACCCCCACTGGATCGATCGCTGCCCATCGATCCTGCAGGTAATGTACACAAGCCCTAAGTGGATTTTGCCAAAGATCAGCTGGTGAGCTCAAGTTTTGAATGACCAGGCAAACAAATATTCTATCAAGTATTCCTTTCAATAGTCAAGTTACAATTTATTTTACACTGTCCTTGTGATAAATTATTCGGCTAAAACTGGTGTTTATGTGTTAAAAATGTGACTCTATAGTGACATAGTGTCATATAGTGTCATATAGACTACCTGGGTTAGTAATAATGTTTCTGTCTTTTTCCCTGATGTCTAATTGCATAGGCTTGTGTAGTGTTCCTCAAGGGTAAAATTTTCAGAACCGTCCAAGCGATTTAGAAGCCTAAGTCCCATTGACTTTCTATGAGATTTAGGCTCCAAATTCATGTAGGTGCTTTTGAAAAGTTTACCCACAGACATTTTATATATTTGACATATAATGTATTTATTACTATATTTGCAATTAAAATAAATCTTCAGTTTTGCTTTAGAAATTTTAAATTTATTTTTATAAAAAAACTAAAAGAACCTGCTCTATTATGGACCTTCAGAATCAGGTGAGACACAACTTAAAAACAATTTCTCCCCTCTCTTTTCTGCTAAACTCCCTCTCCTTAAAAAAAGATAGTTACCTTTTCCGTAACTGGTGTTCTTTGAGATGTGTTGCTCATGTCCATTCCATATGAGGTGTGTGTGCTCATCACATGCACCGGTGCCGGAAGTTTTTCCCTCAGCAGTATCCATAGCGGTGCAGCTCTGGCACCCTCTGTAGTGGCGCCCACATGGCGCCGTATAAGGGGCACCGCTGACTCCCCCCACCCTCAGTTCCTTCTTGCCGGAAACTCCGACAGTGGGGAAGGAGGGCAGGCCGTGGAATGGACATGAGCGACACATCTCGAAGAACACCAGTTATGGAAAAGGTAACTGTCTTTTCTTCTTCGAGTGTTTGCTCATGTCCATCCATATTAGGCGACTCCCAGCAGTTCCCGTGGAGGTGGGTAGGAGTTCACAGCTGCACAGATTGTAATACAGCTTTGCCGAACCCAGCATCATCTTTGGCCTGCTGAGTGATGGCATAATGAGATGTGAACGTGTGGACCGAGGACCACATTGCGGCTCTACAGATGTCCTGTCCCTGGATAGGATGTGCGCCAAGAAGGCCGCCGAAGACGCCTGTGCTCTAGTCGAATGGGCCCCACCCAGCCTTCCTACCGAAGGTGGTGTGGAAGAAAACTCTTCAGTAGGAAGGCTGGGTGGGGCTGCAGCTGGACCTTATCCTTATAAAACACTGTGTAAGGCAGTTCTGAGGTCAAGGCCTTAATCTCTGAGACTAGTCTCGCCAACGTCACCACCACCAGGAAAACGACCTTCCAGGACAAGTAGGAAAGGGAGCAGGAGCCCAGCGGCTTGAAAGGCGGGCCGGTGAGACTGGAGAGGACCAAGTTAAGGTCCCACTGCAAGACGGGGCCCATACCTGCGGGCAAAGCTTCTCAAGGCCACTCAGGAAGCTGTCAGTCATGTTGTGAGAAGAGGCTGGTGGAACGCGGAGATGGCCACAAGGTGCACTCTAACGGAAGAGTGCGCCAGACCCTGGGTCCTGAGTTGCAGTAAGTAAGTAGTTCAAGATGGACTGCACTGAAGAACGCGAGGGAGAAATTCTGTGCTCCGATGCCCAGCGGGAAAACCTGATCCACTTGATCAGGTAAGTTAGTCTTATGGATGGCTTCCTTCTTCCAAGAAGGACCTGCTGGACCTCCTCTGAGCAGGTACGCTCCTCCGGGTTCAACAACGGAGCATCCACGCTGAGAGGTGTAGAGACTCCAGGCTGGGTTGTAGGAGCCGACTGTTATCCTGTGACAGCAGGTCTGGGCAGTAGGGAAGGGGCCTGGGAGGGGCCACTGCCAAATTCATGAGCATGCCAAATCAGTGCTGGCTAGGGCAGGTGATCAGCTTTCAGATGGATGCCGTGGTCGATGAAAAGTCCCACAGATGGACAGCCTCTTGGCAGAAAGCCAATGAGCGCGCTCCACCTTACCTGTTGATGTGGAACATTGAGGCCATATTGTCCGTCAGGACTCTCACCACTTTGCCCGCCAGGTGCAGCAGGAAGACCCCGCAGGCCAGCTGGACCACTCTGAGCTCCTTGACATTTATCATGTAACTTTGTCTTCTCCGGAGTCCACATCTCCTGGGTCCAGAGATGTTCAAGGTGCACCCCTCAAGGTGCTTCCGACACTAGCTCAACAGATGGAGTGGGACTGTCAAATGAGACTCCTTCCAGGACCTTCTCACGATCAGTCCACCACCGCAGCGAGGTGAGAACGACCGGAGAGATGGTTACGATCTTTTCCAGGTGGTCCTTGGATTGGGAATAGGTCGACGCCAGCCATTGCTGCAGTGGCCGCATGTGGAGTCTGGAAAGGCGGACCACATATGTGCAAGTTGCCATGTGGACTAGCAGGTGCAGGCACACTGGCTGTTGTCAGGGGAAACATGGACACATCCACAATGAGGTCCATGAGGGCCCGAAACCTGTCTAAAGGCAGGCACACTCTCACCCAGGTCGAGTCGAGCATGGCCCCAATTAATTCTATCCTTTGAACTGGAACTAACATGGCCTTTTCGTGGTTGACCAGTAGTCCCAAGGAGCCGCATGTGGCTTGTAGTATAGTGATGTCACGTTGGACCTGAGCCTTGGAGCTGCCTTTGACAAGCCAGTCATCAAGGTACAGGTAAATCTGGATACCCCGATGTCTGAGATAGGCCGCGACTACCACCATACACTTGGTGAACACCCTTGGTGCTGTAGCCTGGCCAAATGGAAGGACGGTAAACTGGTAGTGGGCCTAGCCAGCCATAAAACAGAGAAAGCATCTGTGTCCTGGGAAGATTGCTATGTGAAAGTATGCATCTTTCAGGTCGAGAGCAGTATACCAGTCTCCCAGATCCAGGGATGGGATAATGGAGGCCAGGGAGACCATGAGAAACTTTAGCTTCCTTAGGTATCTGTTGAGGTCTCACAGGTCCAGGATGGGACGCAGACCACCCTTGGCCTTTGGAATCAGAAAGTAATGGGAATAGAAACCCTTGTTCGGGTAAGGAGGCAGGACCTCCTCCACCACCCCCAGTGGTAAGAGTCCCTGAACCTCCTGCTCAAGAAGATTCTAGTGAGAAGAGTCCTTAAAGAGGGACAGGGTGGGTGGAGGAGGAGTGTAAGTAAATTGGAGGGCGTAGCCCTGCGCTGCCATATTGAGGACCCAGCAGTCTGAAGTTATTGCCGACCACAGCGGAAGGAAAAAGGAAAGGCGGTGGCAAAAAGTTGGGAAAATAGGATCCAGGAAACAGACTGGTAGGTCACCCCTGGGCACACCCTCAAAACGATTTTTTAGCTCCTTGCTTGGAGTTGGTCAAGCCCGACTCTCAGCAAATTTGCGGATGATACTAAACTGGGAGGGGAGGGATAGGATACAGAAGGACCTAGACAAATTGGAGGATTGGGCCAAAAGAAATCTGATGAGGTTCAATAAGGATAAGTGCAGGGTCCTGCACTTAGGACGGAAGAATCCAATGCACCGCTACAGACTAGGGGCCGAATGGCTAGGCAGCAGTTCTGCGGAAAAGGACCTAGGGGTGACAGTGGATGAGAAGCTGGATATGAGTCAGCAGTGTGCCCTTGTTGCCAAGAAGGCCAATGGCATTTTGGGATGTATAAGTAGGGGCATAGCGAGCAGATCGAGGGACGTGATCGTTCCCCTCTATTCGACATTGGTGAGGCCTCATCTGGAGTACTGTGTCCAGTTTTGGGCCCCACACAACAAGAAGGATGTGGATAAATTGGAGAGAGTCCAGCGAAGGGCAACAAAAATGATTAGGGGTCTGGAACACATGACTTATGAGGAGAGGCTGAGGGAACTGGGATTGTTTAGTCTGCAGAAGAGAAGAATGAGGGGGGATTTGATAGCTGCTTTCAACTACCTGAAAGGGGGTTCCAAAGAGGATGGCTCTAGACTGTTCTCAATGGTAGCAGATGACAGAACGAGGAGTAATGGTCTCAAGTTGCAGTGGGGGAGGTTTAGATTGGATATTAGGAAAAACTTTTTCACTAGGAGGGTGGTGAAACACTGGAATGCGTTACCTAGGGAGGTGGTAGAATCTCCTTCCTTAGAGGTTTTTAAGGTCAGGCTTGACAAAGCCCTGGCTGGGATGATTTAACTGGGAATTGGTCCTGCTTCGAGCAGGGGGTTGGACTAGATGACCTTCTGGGGTCCCTTCCAACCCTGATATTCTATGATTCTATGATTTCTATGACTAGGCAGAGGGTGGGGGCAGGTGGCTCGTGCACCATCTGGAGATGGGCGTTTTGTGCGGCAGGTCCTGCCGGGGCTGGCTCCCTTACCCCTGGGGAAGTTGCAGTTTGAACCGCTTACATGCTGGGCCCAGAACGTAGAACCCCAAGGTGTTACGGGAGTCCTTCAACCCATGTAACTGCAAACATGGCCTGGCCATCGAAGGGGAGATCCTGAATCTAGTGCTGAGCTTTGGAGGACAACCAGGAGAAGAGCAGCCAGGATACTTGCTGCACGGAAATGGCGGACACCATGGTACGGGTGGCAGAGTCTGCAGCGTCAGATGCTGCTGAAGAGCCGCCCTGGCAGCAGCCGTACCCTTGTCAAGGCTCACCCGGAATTCTTTGCAGGAACCTTCTGGGAGGGCAGTCTCAAACTTGGCCACAGTCTGCCACATATTAAAGTCGTAACAGCCAAGGAGGGCCTGGTGGTTGGCCACCCTCAACTGTAAGATAGACAAGGAATACATTTTTCATCTGAACAAGTCCAGTCTCCTGGAGTCTTTATTTTTTTGGCGTAGCTACGAGTTGCCCCTGGCATTCCCTGTCGTTAACTGCCTCGACCACCAGGGAATTTGGGGCAGGATGGGAGTAAAGGTATTTGTGCACCTTAGTTGGGACAAAATACTTACACTCTGCCCATTTGGAAATGGGGGGCAGAGAGGAGGGAGTTTGCCACAAGGCTCTGGATAACTTCAATACCCCTTTGTGAAGGGAAAGGGCTACCCTAGCTGGGGCTGTGGAGGAAAGGACATCAAACAGGTAGTCCACTTGCTCCTCCAACTCCTCCACCTGCAGGCCAAGGCTGGACGCGACCCTCTTCAACAGCTCCTGGTGCACCTTAGCGTCATCCAGAGGAACCGGGTGAGGGGCTCCATGATGGCCTCATCCAGTGATGAGGAGGAGGAGGCCGGTACCGCAGGTTCCATGACACCCATTGGTGGTCCAGAAGGCTGTTCCCCTTAGTCCACATGGACTTGCTGAGTCTTATCCCCCGGGGCTTCAGGCACCAAAGGGAGTTGGGTCGATGCCACAGGCCTGTCTGAGGCTCCTGATACCAAGCAGGCAGGCTGGGAGGGCTGGGTGAACCCCCACAGGTTCCAGGGGTACCATGGGCCCAGCCACTGGGCCTGGGTTTGGTACCGACGATGCAGGAGGCACTGTGGGTCTGGGAGGCTGCTCTGCTGATGTGAAGCCTTGCTCCGTGCTGGAGCCATATCCGGAGTGATTGCTGCCCCATGACCAGGACTCACAGTCGTGTCTAGAGGAGGACTGGTCCGAGCAGAGCATGCGCTTCCACGGGGACCAGCAGTGCTCAGCAGATCCATGAAGGGAGACTGGCAATCCATGCCTCACGCTTCGAGACCGGTACTGGGACGAGGAGCGTGACCTGGAGGTATTGCGGGCCTGATGCCAGGGGGATTTCCCAGAATATGGTGACACCTGTCTCGGGGATCGTCAGCAGGGCCCATGTCTGCAATCCTCCGATCGTTCCCGGGATCTGTAATGGTGTTCTGGTGACGCGAAGGGCCAGTCCCGACATTCCTGCCGGGGAGCAGGTGCCTCCAAGGGTCTGCGCCAAGTCACCGGCGAAGTCCGCCTCGAAATCCACTTCCGGTGCCCAAGGTCCGGTGACCGTAGAGGGCTCCGATGCATCTGCCTCCCTAACTCCAAGGCATGACGGCTTCAAGTGGGTGAACGGTGGTGGGACATCCCCTGCGATGGGGAGCGGTACCGTTGAGGCAAGGGCGGAAGGAAAGGTCCCAAGGCAGGCTTACCCCTAGGTCTGGACGGAGCCGGTACGGGTGGCATCAGGAACGTCAGGATCTCCTGCGCAGCCTGGAGCGCTTCAGGCATCGATGGCACTTGAAGCTGCTCAAGGCTCGCCTCTGTGTCCAGCCTTCCAGGCAAGGAACGGGGAGGGCTGCATCGCTCGGCGTGAGCTGAGGTCTGACTTCCCGACGGGGGAGATGAGCCGCCCGGTGTGGGTCTTAGCTCAGCCCCAGCCCTCTCCTTCCCTTTGCAGGGAGTAGACCATCCCCTACCGGCCTTCTTTGACTTCTTGGCTGGAGCTGTGAATGGGGATCGGTGCCGGCTCGTCAACGGTGCTGGCGGGACACTACGCACCGATGCTGCGGTGCTGGGTGCTGAGTCGGACCTTTGCTTGGGGTCAGAGTGAGCGCCGACTCCATCAGGAGCGCTTTGAATCTAATCTCATGCTCTTTCTTGGTCCTAGGTTTAAAGGACTTGCAGATTTGACACTTACCACTTATGTGCTCTTCACCGAGGCACCTGAGACAGCTACTAGGCGGATCACTCAGAGGCATGGGCCTTTTGCAGCGATCGTGGGGCTTAAAGTCTGGAGACCAGGGCATGCCCCGTCCCCTGCCTAAGTCCCCGACAGGACTAACAAAACTAACTACTGATAAAGGCTAACTAACTTGATTACTATGTACACAACCTTTACAAGAACTCTAGTTTGTACAAAGGAAGCCTAAGCAATGCTAGTAAGAGTGGCAAACGTTCCATGCACAGTGACTGGCGGCAAGAAGGAACTGAGGGTGGGGAGAGTTGGCAGCGCCCCTTATACCGCGCCATGCAGGCACCACTCGAGAGGGCGCCAGAGCTGCTCACCTATGGATACTGTTGAGGGAAAAACTTCCAGCACCGGTGCATGTGGCGAGCACACACATCTAATGTGGAATGGACATGAGCAAGCACTCAAAGAAGAACATTTCCTTTAACACTGGAAATATTCTTAGTTTTCCGTATACAAATACATTTTTGCTCAGACAAGATTCCCAACACCAGAAAAAAAAAACGTAACTATCAGTATAATTGGATAACAAAACCTAAAGTTCATCTAACTTTTAAGAAACGTGCAAATAAAATATTTAAAATACTTATTAAAAATGTTGTTTATATACTTACAACAGCTGCAAATATATATTTTTGGTCTTTTTCTTGTAAAAACAGCAGCACATCAGTTAGAAGCAGAGCTAAACTGTCTTTTAAAAAAGAAAGTGGTTTTAATGAAAGACATCACAATCAATTTCTCCTTTTAACCTGAAGACAAATCCTGATCAAAGGAAACTTAAGAATTCTTACAGTAAACTGAGTAAGAAATATCTGCATCTCATCACAATCTGCCAAAAGCAATTTCAGGCTACCGTTTTACAGTTTGTGTGAACGACAGCACTTTTTGCTGCCACCTTTCTGCAACAGAATGCTGGAGCACTTGATCAGTAAGTACTAACTTGGATGGAAAAAAGGGATGCTCACCAAATTGCCAGCCCTTCTTCCTGAAGTAACTAGGTGTTCTTTGGAGAAACCGCATCCAAGGACAGACCCACCCTAATTTATTTTCTTGTTGATGTTTAGGAGGCTTGATATAATCACAGCACAAGGAAATATGGGTAAAAGCATTTGTGCATTTTTTTTCTAATTTATAAGACAAACCATGAATAGATGGTTTTTAATGGAATGTTAATGATAGCAAAAAAGAAAACTGTGTATGATAAAACACTGAAGACCAAATTCTGCAATTAGATGTACATATGTGGCTCCAGTTAAATTTGATCCTGAGTTTTCCTCTCAAATGAAGGTGTTGCAAGTGCAGGTGAGTGTGATTTTGACACCAGGGGCCAAAATCAGATGTGAAGTACTGGGTGGTGTAAATTTACATGTCAGCATGACATGAGACAGTGTGCGTGTAAACTGCATGATAGGGGTGCAGAGGGGCAGGTTTGCGGCAAGAAATGCAAATAGCAGCAGAGTGCAAGAATCTTATGTGATTGGTTATGTCATGTCTGAATTTGGCTCCATGCCTAGGTGTGCTGTGCATCACATACAAACCACAACACCTTCCAGAAATACTGTGTCAGCGATTAGCAGCATTTCTTGTTCCTTTATGGTACCTTAAATTCCACTACCCACAAACTCACACTTGTGAACTATTGTTACAAGTTATTTTATCTTTTTAACCCAAATGTTAATCTTTATATATTATTTGCAAATAAAAAGCTATGGAATTTCTTTGCAAAGATATGGTACCTTTGAAACGTCCAGTAGCAGTTTTCCAATACACCAAACCTTTATGCAAAAGTGTCCTCTCTTTCTTTTTCAGGTCCTGCTTCCTGAAAACATGGCCATTTTTCAGTTTGGTATAAGTTTTGTTTTCAATTTTATTGAGAATCTCCAGCAATTTTTGCCTTTTCTCATATTCGTTGACTTTCAAGTCTACTGCTGCAATCATGTCCTTAATCAGGCAATGGGCTTTGCATAAGTCTTTATGCTCCTCTGTTCCTTCTGTGTGAAGCAAAGAACAGACAACATTACAGTATTCACCCAATTCAAGAGATGACATTTTTTTCTGATTTTATATGATCTGATTAACACAGTTTAAGACTTAAATCAACTGATATGTTGTAAACAGACTTGGGAAATTAATTTCCAATAAGTAATTTATTTGAAAAATATTACCCTTTTTGTGTTTGTGAAATGTCCCTGAGCAGTTTGTAATTATCTCAGATTTAATCAATAGTTAAAATTACTTTCCAGATAGTTTCTGCAAATAATTCATGTACTGTTGATCCTTTATAAGCAATTCACTTGCAGTATTCAAGATGTAAAATTTAGATTATACACATAGATCGCATGGCATGTTGTGTCTCATGACTGGATGAAAATAACTTCGAATCTGGTTTATAGCATGAATAGTTGCATATTCTCCATTTTTACAAATATGCCTGTGAGTTTATTGATCACTAGAATATTCAAAGAAGGCACAGAGAGAATTGAAGCAACTTTGTATGACTATTAACAGAAAACACTTTGTACTATTTTATTGCCCAGAAGAAGTTATGAGATGCTTCCTTGAATTCATTTGAAGAGTTTTCCAGGCTTAGTCCCAAAAAAGTTCCATGTCTGACATTCAAGATCTTCTGCTAAAACAATTAGACTCTTCAGACTTTTGAGGCTTATCTGAACCTGACCTCTTAAACTTTTAAAGTTTGCCCATTCTTAATAAATATATATGCCACACATACTGTTTGGGTGACATTTACCCTGTGTAGACAGCTTAATTGGTGCACAAAGGCTTTGTTGGCTCTCAGCACAATTTCAAATTTCACACTTTGGGACTATGTTGCATATATTATGCAAGAGATGTATTAAGGTTCCAGATTTGTCTCTGATATGAGGCAAGATTGAATCTATTACTCACCTTTTGAGTACTGCAGTATCCTTTCTACCAGAACTGGGTATTTTGTGATGCGCTGAGTGACAAGCAGAATGCATTCTGGGATTCCTCGACGTCGAGCCAAAAGATTGCTATTTCGCAGCTTTAAAAAATAATTACGCATATTTTATTGTAAGTAGGAAAGTTATACTGAAACAATAATTTACTAGCAAAAGGCCTTAGCTCTACATGTGCTAAATAAATTGAAACTGAAAAAAAAATGTTCAATTATCTGCACTATCCACAGTGAAATGTCACATAACATCCTGATACTCCCAACTATTGAGTCTATAGCTACATTTTCAATTAATGCTGAGAAAGTGCAAATTATACACAAAACCAAGCTTTACATTCATTATCTGTGCCTCATTTGATATATAATCCTTTGTTTAGTGTGGAGGTCTTCCCTATACAGTCGGAGGTGGTTTAGCTGGATGTCTGAAAGGTGTAATTGATGAGGTGGCTCATAACTGGAATGTGTGTCTATTATAGACTGATGTCCAAAGTTTTTTCTAATCTAAACAACATTGGAATTTACCAACTCTCTGATTAAGCAGGACTCTCTAGTTTTTATAAGCTATTGCAATAGCTCTATTGAATACCATGGACCTGATTCTGAAAGGGAACTCAATCCAGTTTCCCACTTTGCACCTACAATTATTTGTGCCCACAAGATTGCATGAATAAAATGGGAGGTTGCTTCCTAAACTCAGGTCCTGCATTGTTTAAATCAGAGCTACAAATTATGAACATGTTTTCTGGCCACTTTGTTAACAGTCACATTTTTGTAAGCGCTTACTTTAATAAAATTCTGGAACTTCTTGTTTTGTTGCAGCTCTTTAAAGAGATTAACAGCTTCCTTTTGATGACTACAAAATTCTCCATATATTTTCTTCATTTTATTGGCGTTTTCCTCTGAAAACTGATGAAAATAATACAATTTTACTCAACAATATACCTAACTGTAAAGAGTATGTTTAAGGATTTTTGCATACTATTGATTGTAACTCCTATCAATGTTATTGAAAATAAACCACTTATAGGATCCTGACACTGCATCCTATAAATCAATGGGAGTTGTAATCTGTACAAGGAATGTAGAATCAGGCCTATAGAGGCAGGAATATATATAGCAGATTGACTGTAAAAACAACTACTCACACAAGTAAAGTGAATTGAATGTGGTCCCATATATTTAATTTTAAACCTCAAACAAATCTCCTTAGCTCTGCTATTAATATTACCTTAGTTTAATAAAACAGAGAATTTTAGAAGTCTACTTGTTTTAACCATTATTTGTGCTGTCACTTTCAAGTACAGTGTGTAGTGTTGTTGTAGTCATGTTGGTCCCAAGACATGAGAGAGACAAGGGTGATGTTATATCTTCTATTGTACCAGCTTCTGTTGGTGAGAGATACAAGCTTTCAAGCTTACACAGAGCTCTTCTTTAGGTCTGGAAAATGCACCCAGAGCATCACAGCTAAATACAAGGTGGAACAGATTGTTTAGCATAAGTAATTAGCACATATTATAAGGGACCATTCAAGGTGAAGTGGCCTGTTAACATCTTTCCAGTCATAGTGGTGCGGGGAGAAAGCTGGGGATGGGTAGAGTTAAGTGGGTTGTGGACAGTTGTAATAAGCCATAAATCCAGTGTCTCTATTCAGTCCATGATTTTGGTATCTAGCAGAATTATGAATTTAAGCTCCCAGATTCATCTTTTGCAGGTTTCCTCTGAGGATGAGGACTGAGAGATCAGCCACAGAGTGATCATTTTGTGAAAATGTTCACCCACAGGTGATATAGTGTTTGGCTTTTATCATTTTTCTGTGTGAATTCATTCAAGAGTGCACTGATTATCTGGTTTCAGCCACATAGTTGTTATTAGACCATTTAGTGCACCGATGAGGTACACCACATGTTGTGATAGGCATGTTGTGATAGGACCCATGAATCCTGGACAGTGTGTTGATCGTTGTAGCGTTGGAGATATGTCTGCAGGTTTTGCATCTGTTATTCTGGCTAGGTCAGGTGCCACTTTGAGTTGGTGAGTCCTGCTCTGTGGGGAGCTTGCTTCTAATTACATGCTTGGTGAGGTTGGGGGGTTGTTTGAAGGCCAGAAGAGGAGGTTGAGGAAAGGTTTCTTTCAGAATGTGGTCCCCACCAAGTATGGATCGTAACTGTTTGAAATTAACCCATATGGCATAGGGGCTGGAAGTAGGGGTGCTGCACTTGACTTAAAGCTGTTTCCATCATATACAGGGTTTATAGTTTGGTTCAATGGCTCTCAGCACCCGCTCTATACAAATTGTTCCAGCACCTTGTCATATGGGTTCCACTGTGGGGAGCTAGAGAACAACTAGAGATGTGAGGTCGGTACAGGGCTTATTCCATACTGAAGCAGGTTCTCTCAGGGTATTTGGGTGGCCCATTCCCTGATGCTACTTACTTCCCCAGTGGATTGTCCTTGTTTGGTGAAGGTGCTTTTAAATGTGTTACTGTATATATCCCAGACTTTCTCCTCAGAGCATATTCTATGATATCTGAGTGCCAGGCTGTAGATAACAGGATTTCTTGGTGTGTTTAGGATGGTTACTGGATCTGTGAAGACAGGTGTGGTGATCCATGGTTTCTTATAAAAAGCTATCTGTAGTGTTCCATTGTTGAAGCTGATCATGATATCCAGGAAGTTGATGCTAATTGGGGAGTGTTCTAGAGAGAGTTTAATGGAAGGGTGGTGGTTGTTGAAGTTGCAGTGGAAATCTATGAGGGAGTTTAGGTCATCTAGCCGGAGGATGGAAATATCATTGATGTACCTCAGGTATATCATTGGTTCTGTGGTGCATTTGTCCAGAAATTCTTCAAGGTGATCCATGAAGAGGTTGGCAGATTGTTAGATACTTTGCTAGATACTAAAAATCAGGGACTGAATAAAGACAGTGTTGTAATGAGCCAAAAATCTTATCTACAACCCATTTATTTCCCCCACACACACACCCTGCCAGCTTTTTTCCTCTTTCCCCGTTATGACTGGAGAGGTGCTAACGGTTCACTTCACCTTGAATGATCCTTTAAAATATGCATTATGCTAAACAATCTATTCCACCTTGTCAAGGTTCCTCCCCCACTCTGAACTCTAGGGTACAGATGTGGGGACCTGCATGAAAAACCTCCTAAGCTTATCTTTACCAGCTTAGGTCAAAACTTCCCCAAGGTACAAAATATTCCACCCGTTGTCCTTGGATTGGCCGCTACCACCACCAAACTAATACTGGTTACTGGGGAAGAGCTGTTTGGACGCGTCTTTCCCCCCAAAATACTTCCCAAAACCTTGCACCCCACTTCCTGGACAAGGTTTGGTAAAAAGCCTCACCAATTTGCCTAGGTGACTACAGACCCAGACCCTTGGATCTTAAGAACAATGAACAATCCTCCCAACACTTCCACCCCCCCTTTCCTGGGAAATGTTGGATAAAAAGCCTCACCAATTTGCATAGGTGACCACAGACCCAAACCCTTGGATCTGAGAACAATGAAAAAGCATTCAGTTTTCTTACACGAAGACCTTTAATAAAAATAGAAGTAAATAGAAATAAAGAAATCCCCCCTGTAAAATCAGGATGGTAGATATCTTACAGGGTAATTAGATTCAAAAACATAGAGAACCCCTCTAGGCAAAACCTTAAGTTACAAAAAAGATACACAGACAGAAATAGTTATTCTATTCAGCACAATTCTTTTCTCAGCCATTTAAAGAAATCATAATCTAACACATACCTAGCTAGATTACTTACTAAAAGTTCTAAGACTCCATTCCTGGTCTATCCCCGGCAGAAACCAGCATATAGACAGACACACAGACCCTTTGTTTCTCTCCCTCCTCCCAGCTTTTGAAAGTATCTTGTCTCCTCATTGGTCATTTTGGTCAGGTGCCAGCGAGGTTACCTTTAGCTTCTTAACCCTTTACAGGTGAGAGGAGCTTTCCCCTGGCCAGGAGGGATTTCAAAGGGGTTTACCCTTCCCTTTATATTTATGACACACCTTGTATTTAGAAGCGACACTGTGAGTACATTTCCCAGACTTGGAGAAGAACTCTGTGTAAGCTTGAAAGCTTGTGTCTCTCTCACCAATAGAACTTGGTCTAATAAAAGTTATTATTTCACTCACTTTCAAGTACAGGTCAACACATGCAGCAGTAGCACAAGCTGCCCCATATACCCTTGCCAGCATACATCGACACAGTTCTGGAAGACCCTCTTCAAGAGGTGAGAGGATAATTCATTCTTTCAATCCTTTGCCTCTCTAACAACTGTGTCAGCTAGTGTCAGTTTCAGTGGTAGATTAAGTGATGGGAGCAACTGTCCACTATGAACTTGACTCAGACCATCAGTACTCAAATAGGTTATGAAAACTGTCATCAGTGTTTTTTTTCACCGCGTTATCAATAATTTTCTCACACTAGAAGAATGTGAAGCAATAACCAAGAGATGAAAATCTTTGCATCCTATTAACCAATCCTAAGAGATCTAGTTATCTCCCTGCCCCACAAAAATGTTGAACTCAACAAATATCTTTTTTTGGTCTTGAATATGTGAAGATTTAATTTTGCTGATCTCTTTACCTGCTGCACAAGGATGTCTCCAATTCTGTTGATTACAAAATTTCTCTCATTTCTCCCCTCGCACGATTCCTGTCTTCTTTCCTTCATAGTGCAGAAGAATTGCCTGTGAATCTCTAGCAGTTCATCTAAGCAGGGAAATATTTTGTCTACAGTGCTGTGATCTAGTTGTAACTCTTCTTTCATTCCTTTCCTGAATATTTCAGACATAATGAAGAGCGTGTGGATGTGATGCACTTCTGTTTGCATCAGCTCTATAGTTTAAAGGAAGATGGTACAGTGTAATAATCCAACTAGACATTTTCCCTCACATTATTTGACATGCATCACATAGTTTTACATTCAAATATATGGACATAAATATGATTTCTTCCATGATAAGCATTAAAACTAATAAAAACAGCCCTAGCTATGGTTACATGTGGTCTCCAACCAGCCCAGTTCCTCTTTTACACTTTCTGCCCCATGACACAAATTTTGGGTCTGAAGGAGGCAGATAACGAAGAGGGCAATGCAGGCATTTCCATGCAGGAACACATGCAGAGAGCAGAATACCATTTTCACACAGGCAGGTGTCTCGATGCAGCTACTCTGCAAAAAGCTCCTCTGGCTCCCTCTACTGCACTATGCTGACCAATACAGCATCACAGCCCAAGTCAGCAGAGCCACAGCCAGAAATATTGAAATCTGATTCTTGCCTGAACCGATTCTTGTTAAATTTTTCACCATAGTTTGACTTTAACATCAAAAAATTAGAACTTACTGATATGCTGCACTAATGCAAAGCATGTCAACTCAAACATGGAAACTCCCAACCTCTACAATATTAACAACTTACATTAAACTTAAATCTCTCAAGTCCTAGTAGTAAACATTAGGAATCATATGTAACTGAATACCAAGATTCTTTACATTAGTCTGCTTTACATTAGTCTGTATTTGCACACTAATACATAGGCATCCAGATCCTGAAGTCATTACTCTTCCAGTGAGTCTGAAGTCCCTGGAAGATTACTTGAGTAAGAACTGAATAAAACCTTGAGTAAGGATCTCCCAACTGGCCCCAGAATGTTTTTTTAAAAAATATTAATTTTCTGCAAAGAATATTATTATTTTCAGTTCATCTATAAGTCTGAACGTTGATCTTCGATATTTTATTCTTACAGATACCTACTAGCTTTCTCTTTCAAAGCACTTTTTATTAAAGATTTATTTAATACGGAACATTTAAGCATTTTAGGAACTTTACTTTGACTTCTGAAGAATAAAAGGTAAGTAAACAAGAGAACAGAGGAAATAATTTGCAATGAGTAAGGTAAGGAATTCCTGTCACTTTTTTCCCCACAAACTGTCAGGGAAAAGTTGTGAACTTCTCAAATGTATCATTTACTCAAAATTATTTGTAACTTTCTTTAGCAAATAATTCTTTGGTGTGCAGCTCATCCATGAACAATTCACCACAATTATTTGTATTTCATATTGTGTTGGTTAGTTACACAAGTCATATGGCTATAATTTCTGTTCCCTGACTGGATAATTTACATATCTATCAAACAGTGCAAATTGTGAATTTTACAATTGAGTATACAATTCAAAATTTGCTTTTCATTACTATTCCAACATTTGAGTTTAAAATTCACTTCTCAGGAATATACATGCTAGTAAACTTTGAGTACTCAAGTGTTCACAGGAGGTGGACATGGATGCCTCAAGAATACCATTAAATTGAAATTAACTTTAAAATCCAAATGAATATTTTTAGGCAATTGTCTTCAATATTCTGTTAGCTCTACATTATTATACATTACATTATTATTTGTGACAACATATTATTTAAATATTCTTCGTTATTCATATTCAAATCTAAGCACTGAGAATTTTCTTCCAGTTATATGACTTGTGTATCCTACCTTATTGCCTGTGCCAAGTTATTTTCAACTTTTTAAAAATAATTGAAACACTGACCAAAAATTACATCCTGCCTTTTGATAACATCCTTTTCTTGCTTGCTACAAAATGCTGGATCCACAACAAGTCTCCAAGATTCTGCCTCAAACTCCTGTGCCTCTGTGCTGAGGTCAGTCCACAGGGAGGCATCCACATCATCTATGACAAAATAAAAACCTTGTAAACACTGGTCGCACAAACAGGTTGGCAGTATCAGAGCAAGGGAAGATCCTCATGTGCATGCATGTTTATTCATTCAGTGAGTATATTGCTGAACTGAAGTAAGCCTTAATTAAAGATTCTAACCAGTACTGAGAAAAGATTAAAATGAAAAGACAAAACCTGCCAGTGATGACAGCATCACTATCTTACACGTTAAAATGTAAACAGAACAGAGTGGAGGCAAGCAGAGATTTGGGAATCAGAGGGAATATTTTTTTCAGGATTGGATCCATTGTTTGAAATACCCCCTCAGAAGTGCCCTCTGATTTGAGGTGCCTCAAATTTATGCGTACCCAACTTGAGAATCCTTGTGCTGGATTTTCTCTCTCTATGAATGCCCTTCAGCTCTGGAATTCACACCCCCAACCCCTTTTCTGAAATAGCCCATATCTGTTGACTTTCCAGACATGAATGGTGGATGGAGGAGGGTAGTTGGGAGGTGGGATTTTTGTGTTGTGGGAGGAATATGAGTGATGGGTGATACTGTTTGTAATGTGTGTGCTGAGTGAGGGCGGGAGAGGGCTGGCTATCTGAGTGCCAGAAAGAAATATGAGGCTGTTTGGGTTTTGTAATCTCTTTTATATTATATTTTTTAATTTGTGGCAAGGATGTTGAAAGTCCAGGATAAAAGTTTTTACCTGTTAATTTTTAATAATGACAACAAATAAAAAAAACACTTAATATTAGCAAAGAGTTCATCACTAATTTAGACCCACTTGCAAGGTTTCATGGGTCAAATTTTAATTCTCATTTATCTGATGGTGTCATTTTAATGGTGGTCAGAATCATAATTAAATTACTACACACACATTTTCTTTTGATACAGGAAGTAGTATTCTTAGACTTACTAATTAATTATTCCACTTTGCATTTTGCAGCATAGGTTACAACATGTAGATTTCTCAGTTTACATCTCACCTTCCATTACAAAAGAATCCATTGACGGAAGGGTCCCTATAGATTGTAACAGCGTTTCAGAGTGTGAGCTGGACATCCAGCTGCTACTATCAGTGTCTTGGTCGGAAGATGGCATAGATCTTCTGCAATGAAAAAAAATGCATTTAATTGTAACAACTCACTTAGGAATGCTGAATAATCTAGTTAGCGTACTGTGCTGGTAGGTGCCTTCTACCTTTCAAAACTGGCGCTTGGAACACTTTTGGATAAAGAGTGAGGTTGCTGTGAGACTTCTTTCCTTACAGAAGAAAGTCCAACGGGCATTGAGGAAGACGGATGCATTGAGGAGAACATGGGCTGAGGAATATCTCTAAATGATGAATCTGTGAAGTGAAATATATGTGTAAGTCTTATAGAAAACCTCATATGTTATTGCCTCTTATGATTATAGCAAGAAATACTACACAATTATCTTATACTGTCGATTAATACATGCCACTGGGCATATTCTCTTATGGTGCAAGAGCACTGTGCTCTTTCCTGAGTTGGATGGAAAAACAAGCCACAAGGTGAAGCTGAGTGACTTTGGTGCCCACACTGTCAATTAGAGAGAACAAGTTTAAGCTATGGACATGCTTACATCACACTCAAACATGGCTAAACCAGGTACATTGGGGGTACATGACGGGGAGAATTTTCAAAAGCACTCAACTCTGGCTTACCTCTGCTCTCACTGCTATCAGTGGTAAAACTTCCATCGTCCAGCTATGCAGGAGGAAGGACGGGAGAAATGGGATGTGATTTAATTAGGCCACAACTTTGTTCTTAAATGTCTTGGTGGATCGGCAGATAAAACTGTGCAGTGCAGGTAATTCCATAATCATTTACACATACTTGGTGTGGTGGGGTGCTGCTGTCAGCCCTCCCCCTTCACCCATCCTGGTCCCCATCCAAATGAGGTTGGGAGGGATATAAAGGAGCGGTGGATTGACTCCTTGCTGTACCAGTCATAGGAGCCCCAACCCTGCCCCCGTTTCTGCTCCTTTAAAGAATACCTCCTTTAAATCCTTTACCAATCCATTTTGTCTGATCACTGTATCCCTTCCCTACAGAGTACTGCACTGGACATCTGCCCCAGGCATACATAAGGAGTTGTGACATCACAACCTAACCCCCAATTAATTTATGTCCAAACTAAGCCCCTAAATCACTGTGGAGAAGGTGAATAAAACCCCACCCCACCTTGGCCAATCTGGCAGCAGAGAGAGAGAGAGAGAGAGAGAGAGAACATTCCTTCACAGCTGCCAGAGAAAGGAGCAACTAGTGTAATGCCCACCGCCACTCATGATAAAACCTGGTATTTATCTACATCCAGGGGTGGGAGGGTGAGTGCTGCTCTGCCTGGTCAAGGTAAAAGAGGGCTTTTCCTGCACTGGCATGGACCTAAATAGTTCCCACCCCCTTTCCAGTCACCTGGTGCCAGGGGGAAATGGGTCAACAGCCCCATGCTAACTGGATTTGAAGCTGCCACAACAAGACACACTCTGACTCTCTAGCCCTTAAAGGAGTACACACCTTTTCCAACCAAACGACAGCTGCCACTGCTTAATATGGGACTTCAATGGAAGAAGAGTTAGACCAATTATGAGTGCTTTCGAAAATCCTACCTTATATGTATTAGATACTAGCAAATGCACTTGTTTTCCAGTAGATATGGGAGTCACATGTAAAAATGCTCTCACACATACAAAATTGTAAAGAACAAACTTGTCCTATTATTTTATTATTCAGGCAACGTACTAAACTTTAAAATGATAGATTTATGCCTATTAGCTTGCTTGCTTACTATAATACTTACTTGTTAGGACAGCTTGTGGTCTGGTCTTAATATGGTATCTCTCTTGGAATTTCTGGTAAAGAAGAATTTCATCTTATTAAAATGAAATAACCGCTGATTACACACTGAATAGTCAGTAATCTACTTTCATATAATCATCTGGAAGAGCCCTCAAGCAAACTGCATTTTGATACTGAATTATGATCCTGAATTTCTGCTGCTGACAAACAAACCTAAGTAAAAGGATAATGAATTTCAGCCACATTATAATACAAAATTAATTCAAATTATTTTCTTTCAAATTACTGTGTTGTTATGGAATTATTCTTTTGCAACATGCATATGATTTGTGAGGGCTTAAAGAAAACAATTACACTTGTAGGGCTACACTTTTTAAATGAGTTTGAAGAGACCTGAGGCAGGAAATTGACTCTAAGTCAGTCTGTCTGAGCCAGAATTTGTGTCCTTTGCTACATTGTGCAAGGCTTATATGCTTAAACAAGTGTTGCATTTAAGGAGAGCAAGTAAGTAGTTTTTCCTCTGTTATCCTCTTGATGATTGGTTGGGGATATTGTCTCTTCCTGGTAAATATCCACCAGTCCTAGTAGTTATAGTACCTGTTAGAGGCAGCTGATTTAGCATTATAATTTACGTTTTAGATCCTTTTTGTAAGTTTGCCCAGAGGCTATTCAGTGGGTGTACACTGATAAAGACAAAATAAAATAAAATAAAATAAAATAAAATAAAATAAAATAAAATAAAAAATGCATGTTTTATAAGTGCAACCTTGGGCATGTTTACCCTGAAGATCTGTGCACTGCAACAGCTACTCCGATATAGCCACACTGGTGCAAATCCCTTGTTTATATGCACTGCAACAGTTTGAAAAGTGACTTGCACTGGTGTGGCTGATTCCAGTGCAAATCACTTGTTAGTCCCTAAAAAACAGAAGCCCCCTTCAGTGAACAGTTTTGAAAATGACAGGTTTGACAAGAGTTGACAAGAACGTCTGAGGAACAGTGGGTTCTCTATGTATATAAATCTCCCCACTGTATTTTCCACTGAATGCATCCGATGAAGTGAGCTGTAGCTCACAAAAGCTCATGCTCAAATAAATTGGTTAGTCTCTAAGGTGCCACAAGTACTCCTTTAGTTTTGAAAATGTAGCCCTCATTTTAATTGGGGGTTACCTACTGAAGTACGTTGGTTGTTACACTCCAGGGGGCTCTGCTACGCTTCAGCTCAGCCCTTTTAAGTACACCTTAGAAATGCAAATCAAACTACACATCCCAATTTATCCTGCAACGCTTCAAAGATAAAAAGGAAGTGACCCTACCTGTTTTCACTCCTTTTATACAGTATTTGCTCAAGGACATTGCTTATTGCTTATTGGTTGTGTCAGATATTTATTTGGCATTCTCTCAGCCCTTTGTGTACAAACACTTGGGTGGATCATTTCTGCACTGTTTTCTTTCTCAGCTTCATTTTGTGGCATCTTATTTGTTTTAGTAACTAATTATTTCTAGGTCTCCATATAACAAGTAAGTCAATCAACATGAACCTATTATGAAGCAGCCTACAAAGACAAGGTACTGTTCAAACACTTTGAATAAGCACAGCATACGCTAATCACCACAGAAGAAACTGTGGAGATTGATTTAAAAAATGAAAGAGAGAATATACACAACAACATCGTAAGAACAGTAAGGCATAGAAAGTTACCTTTGTACATGCAGGAGCACAATCCTTACAGTTTTTATGCACAATTGCATTGCAATCTGAAAGGAAAAACAGATCTCAAAGCCTGAAATTGAAAGGGGTCGAACATTGTAGTGCACTTTATTCTGGGACTTCATCATTTTTCCTCCTTCAGACCCACATGCTAAATAGCCACAAAGACGGCTTTAATTTTTCTCTTAGCTTTCTCCAGGACTGTTTCAGGAATCAACTAGCAAGAGTCTCTTGTGAAACAAGTGGCCATCACCTTTGTCCCCTCTCCCTGAGGCCTGGGGACCCTGGCTGAGTAGGTAGAGAAGTATGTATTTTCAAATCCAGATACTGTCGCTCTTGAAATGGAATATTAAGCAAGTATCTTTCAGCAGATTTTCAAAAGTTACATAAAAGCTGCATAAAAGACAGTAGCTACTTACAAGAGCACTGCAATGACTCTTTCCCTAAGAGGGCTTTGTCGCATGCCATACACGGGATACTGCCTGAGAAGTTCCCAGTTATAAACTGATGTCTGTTCAGTTTGTCTTTGGCATCCTTATTCTTTGTCTTCAGATCCAACAGACCAGGCAAAAGGAGAGAGATTAAAATAGATAAATAACCACCATAATATTATAACTTTAAAACATTCTTCTCTTATGAGAAAATGGATTTTAAAACATTTATCTCTTTAAATTGTACAACACTGAGTCACATTGGGAGCACTTACTCACATGAGTAGTCCCAGCAGCTAACATTAATAGAATTACTATGTGAGTAAGTGCTCACCAGCATGGACATATGTTGCACAATCTAGACTTTAGATTATTAAAAATGAAACACTGAAAGTATCAGATTTACTTTTCACAATTAATTTTGTGTTTACACTTAGCACTTTGTTTGGGCCCTGATTCTAAAACTCACATATGCTCAGCAGCACTTACTCATGCATTAAGTTCAAATAGGACTACTCAACTGAATAAATGCCACAGAATCAAGCCCTTATTGTGGATAATAAGAAAAATAGACATATACTTTCTAATATTTCTAGTTTTGTATATCATGTAAGAAAACTTTTTCCAAATACACTGCAGACATTTGAACTTGGGCTAAATCAAGACACGAGATAAGTAATAATAATTAAAAAGTGGCAAGGGAATTCAGTACTGTGAAAACAAGGTTACTTTAAAAAATGAACGATATTGTTTGTCTATACAAGGACACTGTCAACATATTTGTCATAAGTTTTAAATTTAAAATGTCTTATAAATACAGTTTAAATAATTGCAAAAATCAGCCACTTATCTTTACTTAAGAGGCGAGACAGATCTGATCCCAAGCTATAATGCATTTCAGTTATGCTAACAAGCACCTAGTTATATGTAGATCTGGAATTACCTTGCACTTATTTCGTGTACTAGACATTCTGTTCATCAAGAAGCTGAAAGTACGGCTCACTTTATATTTTTCGGACTCGGATTTTGTAGGTATAATATACTTATCCCATTCCTCCTCCTGAATCCTAAAATGTAAATCAGTGAATACAACTCATTACACTGGACATAACATCTTAAAACGGAGAAGCACCTGGCTGATATTCTGCTTCAGCTGCTTTTAACAATCCCAGGATGTATTCAGGTTTAAACCATAATTATTTAAGAGGTCAACATCAAACCAAAAAGTTACATTAGTCCCTGCATAATACTAATTATGAACACATACATGGGTACTGTACATAATGTGAACTATACTGCAAGTTTGCCATAATTATACTGTTATCAAACCCCTCAGCATGTATATTCCCTTATTTTACATGTTCCTTTGGGTAGCTCCCACATTAACTCCTTTTCCTTGCTATGTCTGAGCTCAGTCAGCTGTGAAACAAGAAGCTGGGGCTGCAGCAGCCAGGGATTCTTCTGCATGAACACCAGCCCCATAGGTCCCAATTCAGCACAGCATTTTAGCACATGCTCTATTGAATACTGGGTGGCCTGCTGAATTGGTCATAGATGTGTGCTGTTTCCCTCCTTCTCTCCCTAGATGGCACTGGAGCAGAGGCTTCTCTCAGCCAGCCTACAAAGTCACAGTGCAGTCCTGACCTGGGGATCAGATGGAGCACATGACACAGCAGTGGGACCTGCTGGGAGTGTCACTGCCAGACTAAAGGAAAGATGGGATTTGGATTCCTGCACTTCACAGATAATGGGATGGTTCCCTGGCATCCAGCCACATCGATCCAGAACATGCAACTGATTTTTATTTGCAATAAATAAATGTAAAAGGAAATGTCAGTAAAAGTTGCAAAATGAAAAACTCAAAAGTCAAGAGGTACCAGTTAACGTTGCCTGTGAAACTGTAACTCTGCTCCCCTGTGTGTGTTCATTATAATACAGTCTTTACTAACATGAACACTCAGGTTTTTTTCAACAGTTTTTTAAGGTGCACAGTAAATGGAAACCCTCTCCTCATTCAGTATGCACCTCATACGTAAACAGCTCTCATGGTGTCCATTTGTCTGGCATACAAAATAATGAGTAGAGTAACATAGATGCAGAACACCTACATTTAACGGTTTTAGGGGAAAATGCATGACATTATATTCAACAAAAACAGTAAGCGGTTACAGAAGTAAAGACTATTGCACAGAGAGAGCTAAGGTTGTGTATGCCAAATGGACTTAAGAAATGCCAAACTTTAAAGTTGCACAGTCAGACAACAAATGTGTTGCAAATATAACATTGTTATAGACTATATCCAACTCTCACACTAGTATGGAGTATAACAGTAACCTAGAGAAGCATTCTGAATTCCATTAGTAAAAGGCACCACAAGAGAACATGGTATATTAGTCTATTTGAGTCTGCTACTTTTCAGTTATGATGATTATTACAAAGATCTTTGCTACTAGTGTTTAACTAGTAGCATTAACATGTAAATAATGGTAGATGGATAAAAATTACACTGCAGAAATTCATCTGTGGCAAGTGTCAATACCTTTTTTCCTTCAATTGCTCTGGCAAGCTGTATGCGCGTTGTTCTACAAAACACAAAAAGTTAATGAAAACTAACGTGGTTATATTGGGATATTTATTTGTTTGAAGCACATAACCTCCACCAGGACGTAAGCTCAGTCATTATATTCTAGCACAATTGGTTGGGAATTTAGAAAGCAAAAATTATTAGAAGCAGGATTGCCCGGGATAATACACATCGTTTATTAAACAGGTTGTATTTGACAGAGTTTGCCTGGATCTGGGTTAACATCAGAGAATGTCAGTCTTTGCAAACTGATGGATTGCTTTTAAGAAGTAAAGAAAATTAATATTGATCTTTTTCTGAGCAACCCGGTTTTTTGAATGGTTCAATCTTTCATTTTGCTTTTTAGCTATTCTGTTGTAAAACACATACATGATTCTTTTCTATTATTTCCGAGACCAGACGTTATTTAGCTTTGTAGAGATTATCTGCAAACATATGCCTAATTTTAAGTACATATGTAGCCCCAACGACTTAAATGGGACTATTCTCATGCTTAAAGTTAGGTCCATGCTCAAGTACCTTGTTGAAAAAGGGCCCATATGAGAAAATACCCGACAGTTCAGCAAGTAAGATAGCATATTTTATCATGTACGTACTGAGAATCAAATCACATTTCAGTTAGTTGCCAGACCAAACATGTGCAACAAGATGCTCTTCTGAAGAAATAAAGGCCATGTTCCCATAGAAAAATGAAGATAGCTTCATGCAAAATAGCACCATTGGGTTGCCATTGCAGTACTTACTACAGGGATGGAGCAGAGACACTGATTTAGAGAGTGAAATAGCCTGGAGAAGGGGTCGACCACTGTTCATGAACACACCATCTACACAGCAGGGACAAATTCTTTACAGTTACATACTAGAAATATCCTCCTTTAAACACATATGTAGCCAATTTATTTCAATGTGTATAAAAAAGCTTTGGTTACTGCTACGGCAGTAGGCAGTGCATATCCTACTTCTAGATTGCAGCTCATGATGCAAGAATGAAACTCTCTTATTATGGGTTAATCCTTTTAGACTCAAAAACGCAAATCAGCAAACTCAGATTGGATTTTAATTTACAAGATCAGATTTTCTACCCTCATTTATGGCCAAATCCTAAACAAGACATTAAAGTGGTGGAGTCGTGGGAGTTCCCAGCTGCCGAGAAGTTGCACCTGAAAATCTCTGCTTCTTCTCCTTGCTGCAAAGTAGTTCCATGTAGCAGCACTGTCCATGCCAACATGTTGCAGTGGGAGGGTGAGAGGTTGAGACAGAAGGAGGGCCAGCAATGTGCTCAGCAGATCCCTGATGACTAAGGCTCAGATTTTGTCAGGGATATTTTTAGTAAAAACAACAGACAGGTCACGGGCAGTAAACAAAAATTCAGGGAAGCCTGTGACCTGTCTGCTGCGGGGTTCCCCATCCTCCCTCGCTGGCCGCCAGAGCTGGGCTTCTGGGGCAGGGGTGTGTGACCCGTGCCATGGCTGGGCAGCTGCTGGGAGCCCAGCTACCCTTGGGGAGTTGGAGCTCTGGGGTCCCCCTGCTGCCCAGCGGCTAGGAGCTCCTGGGAGCCTCCATCAGCAGTGGCTGAGAGCTGCAGGGCTGCCTGCTGACAGCCCTAGGGCAGAAAAAGTCATGGAGGTCCCTGGAAGTCACAGATTGTGTGTCTTCAGTGACCTCCGTGACATAATCGTAGCCCTACTTATGACACAAATGCATTGGCCAAATCGTCCCATACTTGGAGAACACAGTGACTACAGACACTTCCGCAGCCTTGATGGGCTACAAAGTGACTATTTGTGTCCCATAGCTTGGGAAGAAGGATAATTCTAGCTCTCCCAAGCCCCATGTAAACTCCTATTAGTTTACTCTGACTTTATATAGGAGGTCAGGGTTTAGGATTGATTAGGGCAAAGCTCTAAACCATGTGCTTAACTTTACACAGGTGCTTCAGTCCCATTGACATTACCAGGAATTAAACACATGTTTAAGTACTTTGCTGAATTGAGGGCTTTAGATCTTATGGGACACATGCCCTTGTTCCTCATCTGCTTTTTAAGACTTCTCAGCTAATCTGCAGGATGAAAAATTGTTAAAAATAAAGTTACATTAAAAAAAAAAAACCAATAACAATACTTGTAAACATCCCAGTGTTGCAGACAGTGCACAAAAAAGAGTTATGAGTAGAAACAAAGCGTTATTGTGGATTTGAGGGACCAAACCCAATGAATTTGAAAAAATGTTCACCTACATTTTAACCAAGATTGTCGCTGCTGTTTTTTGCATTCTGCTACTAAGCATCATGTGAAAAATGCCCCAACCCTGCAAAGGTTTAAACACATGTTTAACTTTGAAATCAATGGTACAGCAAGGTAAGCCTGCGCGTGAGTCTTCCCAGGATACAGGCCTAAATAAAATAATGAAGCTTCTGGAGCCAATTCAGGATAGCACTTAAGCACACACCTCACTTTAAGCGCACACTTAAAGTTATGCTTAAGTGCTGTCTTGAATAAGGATGCTTTTCTTAAATGATGCAGCACTTATTAGAAAAAAAAATACACAGTCAATTTCCAGCCCATCTTTTCTCATGTTTATAGCTTTAAGTATGAATTTTCCTTTTGGAAGAAAATCAGGTTTGTTCTTATCCCAAAAATAATTAAAAAAAAAACCAAAGAAAATGGATTCTATTGAAAATTAACTGATTTTCAGAGATGTGATCATGAATAAGATCGAGTACATATTTCATACTTTATATCATTCCATGGATTTCTAATGTAGCATGTTACACAGCTTTCTCCAAAGAAGGCCTGTGTTGTTTGCTAAGCTTAAAAACAAGCAAACAAACAAAAATACCCTTAAAATCTAAGGCTGCTAGAAACAATTCTTAACATCTTGCAGGCAGCACATAAGCAGAACAGTCAATTATGTAACATGAGGCTACGCTGTAAGGTTCTTACAAGTTTTCCAAGGATGAGCAAATACCTACTAACTTCAATGGAAATCTGTCTGAGTTAGGACTGAATAGGAGCGGAGGATCAGATTATCCCTACCATGGTAAAACATGCAGAATAGGAACAGAGGGAAGGCAGGTTTGTGAGAATCCCCTCGCAATGAATCCACACATCATCCCATGAAGAAGGTGGTGTTTGCTCCCCTGCCTATGGAAAAGGCCACAGCTTACACACAGACCTCACAGATTCCCAAGGATCTGCAGGATGTGAGGACCTTCGGCACAAAGGGCCTGTGCCTCTATACCAAATTTGGCCTCTCCCTTGATTCTCTGCTGGACTCCGGAAAAGAAAGTTGTGTCCTAGGCTGCCTTATGTTTTCTGACTAAGCTCTGCAGGGTTGGAGCAGGGACAACGTGTGTCTCCCTCCTAGCCGCACCTCCAGATTGCCCACTTCTCCCTCGCAGCTCTGTCTCTATGTTCTCCCACACTGCAGGCTCTGGATGTATACGGTGCCCCTTGAAGAGCCAAGAGGGATGATGTGGAGGCAGCTAAGCCCCACTTCCACATGGACTGGTGGAGAGCTGCACACATAGGGGACCACTCTTTACATGGATACCAGGGAGACAATCCAGACCTGAGTAAAGAAGTGAGCATTTGGCTTGTAGTAAGCATGGAGTTTGTGGCATTCCATACACGCAAATGGAGTAGAACTAATGCTCACCTTCATTTGAATCACAAACTGTGAAGTCACGTGCAAAGCGAGATTTCCCTAATAAAACTTTGGGTGAAGAACATGAGTAAGAACGTGACCGGATTCCAGAAAGTAACGATTCCTAGAAGAAATCAAAATGAAGGGGAAAAACACATTAATTTTAAAGAAAGGCAATTGGTATTACAGGAAAGTGTGTGTGTGCAAAGTCAGAGCAAGAAAAATCCTAAATTATTTCAATTTGGTGGGGACCAAAGTCTGAACAGTGATGTTATTCTACTATATCAGATGGCCAGTTATCTTCCCTGCCTTTTTCTGATGGTACTTGAACATAGTGTTTTCAGAGCAGAAAAGACCAGTGTTCCATCTAGCCCAGTATTCTGTCTCCAGCTACGATCTGGATATTCCAGAGGAAGAAATTAATCTCTCTCTTCCTTTTCCCTTACGTTTACCTAATTGTGCCTGGATACCATGACTGGAAATCTCTTACCCCAGCTGGTGATTAGTTATTGATATGCCTTGAAAGCAAAGTCATAATTACCTGTGCAAAACCCATTTCTTTTGAGAATTTAAATCAAACTAACATTATCTGATTTTTGTGGTTCATTAAATACACGGACTTGCATTAAAAAAAAACCTATATTTTCACTACTATATAGATATGTTTTTGACATGCTAAGTGCACAGGTGGCTTCACAGATAAAACAATATTCTGTTTGTTTCAATTCCAGATCTGAAGTCAACTTTAAAGCTCTGAAAGAAACAATAGTGATGGTCTGCGCTCTATCAGATGGAAGCTTGCATCATGACACCAACAATGACTATATGCAGCATAAAGTGCAGTCTTTTCTCCAAAGAGGACACTATGTGACTGAGTCACTGTTGCATGAAAACTGAACTACTTTTCACCCCTACTGAGGGCCGTCATTTGAAATCATCGGCACAGATAGCACTGACATTGCCTTACAAATGTATTGCTCACAATGAACTTGGCCTAGAAATACTAACAGGAATTTCCATCGTGCACTTGCAGCAAAGAGTTCCATGTTGCAAAAAACTTTTCTGAAGCAGCCTTGAGTTCCAAAATATTGTGAAAACAGTATGTTGATTTGCAGGATAAATACTACTGAGCATGTTGGAAAACACCTGGGGAGAAAACCATTTATGCTTCAACTGAGAATTTTGCTAAACTGCTTGATAGAAACAAACCAGTGTTTTTTAAAAATAGCTCTCTTGCATTTAGGTTTAGTAGTTTTTTCCTCCGGTATCATCTTTCCCCCTCCCCTTACATGAAAGATCAGGTAAAGCCCAGTGGCAGCCAGGACTTTTTATCTGTTTGATCAAATAAAAATAAATCTCATGCCTATGAATAAAAGAGAAAAGAACTCTGTGTATGTGTTTGACGTTTCCAGAAATAGCCAAAGGTTCAATGAAGTTACAGTAGCCAGAATATCTGTGGGAAGCATTAGCAGAGAAAGGAGCTTGTATTAGTCAGTGTACAAAATTCAGCCAACTAGACCCTCCTCCATGACTGTCTTTTTAAAAAAATACTTGTTTGCAAAGGCATTAACCTTCCTCATGTGCCACAGAGAATACCGGAGCAAAATTTTCCTCTCTGTTATACCAGTGTGTTGAAGTATAACATTGTATAACGTTGTATAAGGGGACATGCTGGATACATTGTATATGAGAGGGCATGCCAAAACATGTTACAAAGTATCTGAGGGAGCACACGCAGGGACAGTTAGCTTTTGAATGGAGAAGCAATTAAAATAGAGCCAGTACGTCTAAGAAGCAGGCATCAGAATGGAAGGTGTGAAGGGCAATTAGTTAAGTTAACTGGAAGCTGTTAAAGGAGATAGTTAAGGGTGGCAGGTAATTGAAGATACGTGACTGGTCTCAGGGATCTCGAAGGGTGGTGACTAAAATCTTTTTCTTCTTTTGTCTGTAACTTCTCTGTAACTTGTTCTCCCAGTAAGCTGTATAAATTAAGAGACACAAGCTCCACTCGGGGGGCTCACTTCTAAATGTATTAGCAGAGCAGCTTTGCTAATAAAACAGAGTGGTCTGATAAATTGTGAGTCTGAGTCAAACTTTGACAAGTGTAAATTGGGATAAGTTTTGTTGACTTCTATGGAGTTAATCCGAATTTATACTAATATAATTGAGAGGTGAATGTGGCCCTTCAAATACAAATTCTTATATATTTTCAACAACTTAGTTGAAAGCAAAATAAACAAAACCAAAATGATATCCGAATACCTTTGACTGCAGATTGTTAGAGTCCATCCTGTGGATGCTATAATCTAGGTCAGTGCTTGTCTCAGAAGAATCTAATTCATGCCTGCTGCCAGCCACGGTCATTGAAGAACTGAAAGAAGGGTAGCGAACGTGGGATCTGTCAGAAATCCCTTCACTTCCAATGTCTACTTCAAGGTCATCAAGACTAGAACTAAAGCATACAACAAAATGTATGGAATGTAAAGCAATCTAATTATCAGACTTAATGCAACAAGCAAAGTGAACAGTCTAATAAATGGTGCTTGGGTTAGTCATGCTCTAGTCCTCTCTCAGCTTTGTGGTCCTCCCTTATCGTGCCCATGGCTTTACTCCAGTTGCATCTTGCCGATACTTTAAAATGTGGTCATGTTGTAACCAGGCCCAGATACAAGTGGCTTAGAACCAGGGGTCCTTACCTGAATGCATTTGTAGAGTAAACAGGGTCTTAGATATCTGCTCCTCTTTTGCTTCTGAACTTCAAAGTCAAGTTTAAGTGAGAAGCTGCATGATAAGGAAAAGTGCGAATAGCCTATATAATGTGGCAACGCTCTGACTATTTTCTCCAACATCTGGTATGCTGAAGGAGTTTCCTAGAAGCCACTTTTTGAGTAAGTCTGATTTTAAGGTGTATAAATTAATCCTTCTTTTTTAAAAAAAGATAGAAAAATGAAGGAACATGACAAAGCTTAAAAAACCCAACCCTCATGAAATCAACGATGAACACAATTAGAGAATGTGTGATTTGCAGATGTTCTTGCATATAACATTACAATGAGATTTCCTAGAAGTATCAACACCACAGGGGTGTTCTCTGCAATCTTTTTGTCCCTTTATCTGTATACATAAGCCCATGGTTTCTTTATTAATGTGACTGAAGTGAATGGTTGACTGCTTGCAACAACATTCCAGTCTTCCAGGACAAAACGTTTAGAATATGCATGGTATTTCTCAATAACTACAGATCCAAGCTAGAATTGTAGCATTGTAACTCCTTCACACAGCATTAGAATTCACCTAATTAAAAGATTTCTTTTTCAACACAGTCCAAAGCTGTTTGATCATTGGACTTTTGGATATTATCCATCCCCACATTTGCCACAAATGTGCCATGTGACACTGGAAAAATAAGTTACTTAGGCTATTTGTGTGTCAGTTTCCCTATTTGTGAAATGGGGATAACCATACTTACCTATGGCCCTGTCTACATTAGAAAAACATCACCATTGCAACCATGCTGATGAAGTTACACCATGCAAATGCCTAGTGTAGACATATTACACCCATGTGAAGCAGGACTTAGTCTATCCTGGCTTATTATAGTAATTTACAATAGGAGTTGCACGGGCACAAATTTCTCCAATATAGACAGGACCTACATGAAGGTGTTGAAGATTTATTAATGTTTGCCAAGCACTCTGAGGTCCTTGAATGAGGATGTTATTTAACAACAAATTTGTATTATTTTATTGTAGTATTACTTCATACCTGATCTGATCCTGTAATCTGTACTCAGGCAAAACTCCCAATGAATGTTTTAGGGAGGGATAATTTTGAAGTACACATTAAAATAGGGGACAGATCATGCGTTGCAGCTGGGGAACACCAAGCACAGCTCAGAAAGAATGTGGTGTGTGTGTAAAGGTAGCTTTAAACCATATTTGTGTTCCCCAATCCTGGAGCAGGTCCTATTCCCAGCATAACATAGAGCTGCCTGTGGGAGAATCCTCCAGTGGCTGGACCTGCTGAGTTTTGGCTGCTTTTTACCAGTAGAGCAGCACAAAGTAGGCCAAACACACCAGAGATTTGGGTTCATGGTATTAGTGTAGCACGGTGACTGTCAATCTGCAAAAGTCATATGCATTCAGGAATGTACAATTCCTTTAGGGTCTGTTTGGTTATAAATTGGCTTATGCTTCACTTTCACTGTTTATGATGTTCTGACAAATTTCTCAGTGAAAATTCACAAAATTAATAGTTGTCTGGTTCTGTTTTTCTAGCAAGTGTCACACTTTGCAGCACCTACCACAATTTACGCCAAAAAGTATGAAGTTGCTTAGAAACCACTTACAGTTTGTAAGAAACAAAAGCCAAAGAAAAACAGAAAAAACCCCAAAAGAAACCTTTATAACCAATTTATAAAAATACAGAACTAAATAAAGCACCACATAAAATTTGGGATATAAGTGATTAGGGGACAGTTTTTTGAAGATACTTCAGACTTTCTCTCAGTAGAGACGTTAATATTCCAGGTTTTGTTTTATTTTTCTGAACTAAAATATACTTAATGTGTGTATATATATGTGTGTGTGTATATATATATATATATATATATATATATACACACACACACACACACACACACACACACAAAATGTGATGCTGATTACCTTGATTTCAAGGATGACGTCAACAATCATAGTTTGTATTAATGGGTCTTCATGTGACTCCATAGACCAATTATATCACTGGCCACAGAGCTATTTGCCTAGCTGTTCTGATTGAGCTGCACGTTGTTACCATGCCTGGCACTGTGCTTCCAGCTACTCCACGCACTTCTTCTCAAAGTCAGGAAAACCCACCCTCACAGTATAGTTCCATGCAATGCCATTTGTGTGTGTGTGTGTGTGTGTGTATATATAAACATATTACTAAATGTTCATCTTTTCCTGACAATACCATCAAAACAACTCCATACCTTCTTTTTTTCATGTCAGCATAAAGTTGACTTCGTTCCTTATTAAATCCACAAGACTTGAGTGGTAGATATGAACCTGCTGCATACAGATTTGAAGGTGAAGTGAAAGGCTGTGTGCTTACGTTGTCTATGTTATTCATTACCATTTGGTTATCTTCATTTTCTGCATAAATATATTGGTTGCTTTCCTTAAGTGAGGCAGATGATGAGCCCTTGGGTGTCGGGGATGAGTGGATCTGATCCGTGCCTGTTTCAGTGGTGACACTGTCTACGTTAATGTAGTTAACATCCAAATCTCCAACCTGGAGCATGAGATAGATATGTATTAATGATACTGAAAAGTAAATAACGATGTATCGCTAGAGAATAGTGATCTTTCTTCAAATTACACTTCTCTGTACCACCATTTTTTCCTTTATTACTTTTCTGCGGCATAGAAATTGGAGACAAACTAATATGGTTTTTCAGGCCTCCAGGTCATGAGTATATGTGCAGCTTGGACAAATACAGATACAAATGGCTGTTCACACACCTAAGTAGCCATTTGCATGTGCCATTATTCAGTTTGCACACATAAAAGTGGTAGTTTTATGCAGAATTGTGGCGATCAAAGGGGTGTTATTGGACATTTTAGGTCATGACTGACTTTCAGTTGAGAAAATTTGGCCCTAACTACATGCTTTGTGTCGGTCACAAAGAACACTATCAGCTCTTAATGCGATGGGTGACTTTTTCAATGAGAGGGAAAAGAATATGAAGATGCACTTTCAATATCTCTGCCTTCTTCCAAGATTTTCAGTTAACAGTATAAAATAATTTCTTACATTTATATACTGCCTTTCATCCTGAAGGATCCCAAACTATTTTATAACATATATCTATATCTATTGTGACACGGTCAGGCCAAATGGCTACAGGAGAGTGATAGAAGGCAGATATATTAGCCCCAGGTTAAGTAGGTCCCTTTTCCCTGGGCAAGGTAACAGGGAAGGTTCCAGAACAATCAGGAACTTTCTGGAAACAATTCAGGAAGACAGGCTGATTAGAACACCTGCAGCCAATCAAGAAGCTACTAGAATCAATCAAGGCAGGCTAATCAGGGCACCTGGGTTTTGAAAAGGAGCTCACTTCAGTTTGTGGTGTGTGTGCAAGGAGCTGGGAGCAAGACGTGCAAGAAGCTGAGAGTGAGAAGGCATACTACTGGAAGACTGAGAAATAAACGCATTATCAGACATCAGGAGGAAGGTCCTGTGGTGAGAATAAAGAAGGTGTTGGGAGGAGGCCATGGGGAAGTAGCCCAGGGAGTTGTAGCTGTCAGGCAGCTGTTACAGGAGCCACTGTAGACAGCTGCAATCCACAGGGCCCTGGGCTGGAACCTGGAGTAGAGGGCAGGCCCGGGGTCCCCCCCATCCCTCCATTCCCCCAACTCCCTACTTGATATCAGAGGAGTTGACCTGGACTGTGGGTTCCACCAGAGGGGAAGGTCTCTGGACTATTCCCCGATCCACTAGGTGGATCAGCAGAGACTGCAAGGATTGTTCTTCTTCCTTTTCCCCATGCTGGCCAGTGATGAGGCTAACTGAGTGAATGGCAGATTTGAGCCACTAAAGTGGCAAAACTGAGGGCTGCCGTGAACCTCTGAGGCGAGCAAATCCACCAATAAGCGCAGGACCCACCAAGGCAGAGGAGGAACTTTGTCACACTATATATATAATAGAACCTCAGAGTTGTGAACTCCTCAGGAATGGAGGTTGTTTGTATCTCTGAAATGTTCTTAACTCTGAACGAAACGTTATGGTTGTTCTTTCAAAAGTTTACAACTGAACATTGAATTAATCCAGTTTTGAAACTTTACTATGCAGAAGAAAAATTCTTCTTTCCATTTTTTTTTAGTAGTTTATGTTTAATAAGGTACTGTATTGTATTTTTCTTTTTGGGGGAGCGGAAGGTCTCTGCTGCCGCCTGATTGTGTATTTCGGTTCCAAATGAGGTATGTGGTTGACTGGTCAGTTCGTAACTCTGGTGTTTGTAACTGAGGTTCTACTGCACAAGAATCACTTCTACCATCACTGAAATGCAGCCACCTCTCACTGGAAGTTGGCAGGTGTTTTACAATACATAGCATCTATCCACAACAGTTTACAGTAGGATAAGAAGTGAGGAAGAACAGCACTTTGAATTGAGATTGTGGGGAAAATTTAGATAGGTAGGATGCAATTACCCAAAATGTAGTTTGGCCAGAATCTACTGGAGCTAGTCTCCTTGTGATAAGTAATATAGCACAATTAATAATCACAAGTGGCCAGGACCTCAGTTTTACATCACATCTGGCAGAAAGCACTTCCAACTTTGTGGTATCCTATAACAATAATTGGACATTGGTTTGTCTGGTCACTTATTTTTTATTCCTGTTGAATTGATAATTGAGGGACTTGTTAATTAACAAACATCAGGAAACATGACCCTGTTTTAAATAAGAGGGAATTTAAGTGCAAATAATCAAAGAAGAGGAGCTGTTCAGCTCATAGAAAACTAAAACAAAAAAGCTAAAGATTTACATTTTCATAACTTATTTTGTTTATTAAAAGCATCTAATAAATGAATCAAGAATGACAGACAAGGGAACAAAGTTGCAGTTATTACATAAAAATTAATCGCACGATTAAAAAAATTAATCATGCGAATTAATCACGCTATTAAACAATAATAGAATACCATTTATTTAAATATTTGTTGATGTTTTCCACATTTTCAAATATATTGATTTCAATTTCAACACAGAATAGAGTGTACAGTGCTCACTTTATATTTATTTTTATTATAAATATTTGCACTGTAAAAATAAAAAATCGTATTTTTCAATTAACTTAATACACGTAATGTAGTGCAATCTCTTTATCATGAAAATTGAACTTACAAATGTAGAATTAGGCACAAAGAAAACTGCGTTCAAAAATAAAACAATGTCAAACTTTGGCGCCTACAAGTCCACCCAGTCCTACTTCTTGTTCAGCCAGTCGCTCAGACAAACAAGTTTGCTTACATGTGCAGGAGACAATGCTGCCTGCTTCTTGTTTACAAGATCACCTGAAAGTGAGAACAGGCGTTTGCATGGCACTATTGTAACTGGCATCGCAAGATATTTACATGCCAGATGCACTAAAGATTCATATGTCCCTTCATGCTTCAACCACCATTCCAGAGGACACACGTCCATGCTGATGACAGGTTCCGCTTGATAATGATCCAAAGCAGTGCAGTCAGATGCCATCAGGGGAAAGTTGGTTTTCTTTTTTGGTAGTTCGGATTCTGTAGTTTCTGCATCAGAGTGTTGCTCTTTTAAGACTTCTGAAAGCATGCTCCACACCTCATCCCTCTCAGATTTTGGAAGGCATTTCAGATTCATAATCCTTGGGTTGAGTGCTGTAGCAAGCTTTAGAAATCTCATATTAGTACCTTCTTTGCATTTTGTCAAATCTGCAGTGAAAGTGTTCTTAAAATGAACAATATGGTGGGTCATCATCCGAGACTGCTATAACATGAAATATATGGCAGAATGCAGGTAACACACAGAGCAGGAGACTTACAATTGTCCCCCAAGGAGTTCAGTCACAAATTTAATTAACATTATTTTTTAACGAGCATCATCAGCATGGAAGAATGCCCTCCAAATGGTCGCCAAAGCATGAAGGGGCATACAAATGTTTAGCATATCTGGCATGTACATACCTTGCAATGCTGGCTACAAAAGTGCCATACGAATGCCAGTTCTCACTTTCAGGTGATTGTAAATAAGAAGCGGGCAGCATTATCTCCCATAAATGTAAACAAACTTGTTTGTCTGAGCGATTGGCTGAACAAGAAGGAGGACTGAGTGGACTTGTAGATACTAAAGTTTTACATTGTTTTGTTTTCAGGGTGGATAAAATTCCATGATTTAAAAAAAACAGATTTTTTATTTAAATAGGATTTTTTTGATCAAATGATTTTTGAGGAAAAAACTTATCTAAAGATAGTTTTAATTAAGATACATTATAGCTCAAAGATATCTCATCATGGAATAGGGATTATAAATTCTAACTCTATAATATGAGACAATATAGTCATGTAATGTTTAAGAAAAGTTTTGTAAATGAGTTCCAATAGTTCAAGAATTAGGGACCCAATCTTATGGGGTTCCAGGGGCTCCTGTATGATTATTTAGATTAATCTTTCTATCTACCCAATGGGACTCAGTGCTCAGCCTAGAAGATACCATCAGAGATGCTTAGTTTTTCAGTTCTCAAACTGTGGATGTGTGTCTCCAGAGATAACATGCTTGTTAATAGCAAAAATGTGTTTAAATATATAAATAAATAAATAATATATAGAAGTGAGAAACAACAGACCTGAACCCTATTGTCCCTCTGCAAATTTGTGTACACAGAGTCAATCCCTTACCTCTCTTTGAAAGTGCAAAGTCTCAAAAAGTTCAATGAATAGAAGATTGTTGGGGGCGGAATAGATCTGAACAAGGAGAAGAAGTCTGGAGATAAATGTGAGAAGGGAGGGACAGGCAGTAGAAACAAAAGTGAAACTGTTTGAGCCACATATTCCAGAAGTCTTGATGTCTTTCTGAGCGTAGCCTTCATTGATTTGAGATCTATCATACAATTCTCTTACTAGAAGGGAAAACCTATAATGGCAGCAGGCCGTAAAAGAGACCCAGTTTGGGAATATTTTAATGACGTTTCTCTACCTGTGGGTAAGACAGGCATGCGTGCAAAATGCAAACAGTGCAACAAAGAAATGCAAGGCCCGAATGAAATGACATCATGAGAAGTGTTCCTTCTCAGGAGGAAGCTGCGTTGAAGATGATGAAAGGAACATGTCTGAACATGCAGGATCTTCAGGTTGGTAAATTTTTTTATTTCAACCTTCTTTCTTAAGGACTGCCTGTCTTCCTTCTGGACTATTCTTGAATTCTCATGTTTGAGCAAAAAATACAGTTGTTACTCTATGACAATGTCATTTTAGATGCAGTTGTGATAAAAAATAAATAGCTGAAACAGGCAGATCTTCCTTTACAAATTCACCTTTAAAGTAGTACAGCGTGTCAGTGAATGCACTGAGTAATACTAAATGAGCAATATGGTAATAATAATTAAATAACTGCACTGACTTATTTTGTTTAGGAGAATCCATCCTCAACATACAGGATTCAGAAGACTATCCACCTTCAAGATCACCATCATTTTCTATAGTTTCAGAGTTATCTGCCAATGATAGTGTTTTAGTCACATCATGTATCTCACATAGCCACAGTATATATGACCTGTAGCAAAAAGAAAAAAAAACTCCATCTTCCAGAAACAATCATAGATAAGATTGTGATAAGAACCAGCAGATTACAAAAAGAGGTAATTGATGAAAAAACTGCCCAGTTTGTTTATGCAACAAACTCTCCTTTCTGTATGATTGAGAACCCACATTTCATTAACATGGTCCAGTCATTAAGACCAGGATACAGTCCACCAACAGAATAGATGTCGCAGGCAAATTGCTGGATATAGTGTATGAAAGAGAAATTGAGCAGTGTGCAAAAGGTCTAGAGAGTGAAATTGTTAACCTGGGTCTTGATGGGTGGAGCAATGTCCACAGTGATCCTATTGTATGTGCTTGTGTGACAACAGAAGAAGGGAATGTCTTCCTTACAGGAACAATTGATACATCAGGAAATGCACACAATACTTACAAGAAGTAGCAGTAAAAGCTATAACAAACTGTGGGGAAAAAAATTCAAATGTCTAGTACACAGCTTGGTCACAGACAATGCTGCAAATGTATCCAAGATGAGAAGAAATTATTTAGAAGAGAGAGAAGAGAGTCCCAAGCTAATAACATATGCTTGCAGTGCTCATTTGATGCACCTCCTCGCCGAAGACTTCAGTGTTTCAGAAATAAAGGCTAATGTTGTTGAAATTGCAAAATACTTCTGTAACAACCACTTTGCAGCAGCTGCTCTGAAAAAAGTGGGAGGAACCAAGCTAATTCTCCCACAAGACGTGCGATGGAACTCAGTAGTGGACTGTTTTGAGCACTATATCAAGAACTGGCCTAATCTGATGACAGTTTGTGAACAAAATAGTGAAAAAATAGATGGCATTGTCACAGCCAAAGTTCTCAACATTGGGCTTAAGAGACATGTTGAACACATGCTGAGTACCCTGAAGCCTATTTCTGGAGCCTTGAACAAAATGCAGGGAAATAGCTGTTTTATCGCTGATGTTGTTGAAATTTGGAAGGAACTGAGTGAGATCTTAAAAAGAGAAATATGCAATGACAGATTTAAATTACAAGTATTTAAAAAAATTATGGGACAAGCACTATCTCCAGCTGATTTTCTTGCAAATATTCTCAATACTCGGTACCAGGGTCAAACCTTAACTGCTGAAGAAGAGGAGTTGGCTGTGACATGGGCATCCAGCAATCAGCCCTCCATAATGCCAACTATAATAAACTTCAGAGCTAAGGGTGAACCATTCAAGAAATATATGTTGACTGATGTTGTTTTAAAGAAAGTCACACCAGTGAACTGGTGGAAGTCACTTAAGCACTTGGATTCAGAGACTGTTGAAGTGATAATCTCACTTTTAACAGCAATAGCTTCTTCTACCGGTGTAGAAAGAATATTTTCTTCCTTTGGACTAATTCATTCCAAATTGAGAAACCATTTGGGACCTGAAAAAGCAGGAAAGCTTGTTTTTCTTTTCCAGATTATGAACAAACTAGAAAATGAAGGTGAAGACGACTGAGTTAGCTGCAGAAGCCAATATTTTAAGTTTCTCATGTTGACCTGGCTGACATAGTCCATTTAATTTTTTTTTAAAATATTTCATTTAACTATGTTAGTTAAAAACAATTTTAACAAAAAGAAACCTGATTTTAAAAAACTTGAATGTTTAAATTCAAAAATTCATATGCTTGTTTTGTTAAAAATATTATATGTTTGCTGTTGAAGAAAAAAATCCAGAATACATAATGTTGCTGTTTTAATTAAATAAAACAATTTAAATGTCTGTCTGGTGATGTTCTCCTCCTAATAAAGCATGGCAAGAAAATCCTCCAAATATTAATGATTAACCTGTTGAACTGGAGATAGTTCACCTCCCAGTGACTTCATAAATATCTGCTTCAGTTACCTTTGGTAAATGAAATAACCAAACAATCATTCATTTTCTGATATAGCTGTAAAACTAATCTGAAAAGTTTTCAAAATAAATCACTTTAAAAATGTATAGTGTGTACCTTCTAAAAATGAAACCTACCTCTATCTATGAGTTCTGAAGAATATATATTACAGTTGTAACAACCAACAAGAATGCACTTTTCTGTAGAAATCGATGATTAAATTGAGTCTTCCTGACTAGTGATTTAAATCCATTTGATTTAAATCAAATCCACCCTGTTTGTTTTTGAGTGCAGTTATGTAACAAAAAAAAAATCGACATTTGTAAGTTGCACTTTCATGATAAAGAGATTGCACTACAGTACTTGCATGAGGTGAATTGAAAAATACTCTTTCTTATCATTTTTACAGTGCAAATATTTGTAATAAGAATAATATAAAGTGAGCTCTGTACACTTGGTATTCTGTGTTGTAACTGAAATTGAGATATTTGAAAATGTAGAAAAACATCCAAAATATTTAAGGTTTCAGAGTAGCAGCCGTGTTAGTCTGTATTCGCAAAAAGAAAAGGAGTACTTGTGGCACCTTATAGACTAACCAATTTAAATTGGTTAGTCTATAAGGTGCTACAAGTACTCCTTTTCTTTTTGCAAAATATTTAATAAATTTCAATTGGTATTTTATTGTTTAACACTGCGACTAAATCTGTGATAAATCACAATTAATTTTTTTAATCGTGATTCATTTTTTTGAGTTAATCATGTGAATGAACTGCAATTAATCAACAGCCCTAATAAACCTATGTAATATTTATAAACATAAAACACTGGAAGGCTCTACCGACTGACCCACATTTTACTAAAATTCAAATAATATATTTTACCAGGAGACAATGAACAGCAGTGTACTGAGAGCACAAAGATGCAAGACTATCTTACTTGATCCACTACCATGCAATTTGCATACACTTCATCACTTCCATTCAGCATGGCAGTACGTGTGGGTGCAGCAAAGAAGGTAGGTGGATTTGGGTATTTCTTGAGGACATCAAGTGTAGAATGTCGTTGCTCTGGAATGAAATATTATGGGAAAATACAGAATTTATTTTTTCATACCACTTCCTTTTCTCTTCTCTATTCTGCCATAAAAATAGCTAAGCCTAGTCATTAAAGCATCACATTTTAAAGAGACTATTATTAGTTATGCCCAGAACATTTAAGACAACATTTCTGCATTCATTCAAAAATCTGTATTTGTATGCAGAAGCTCTCTGCTAAACTACCTGATTTCACGACATTTGTCAAACGGAAATTAGTGAGCAACAAATACAGCTGAGTGACATTTTTTGGCCAAAAACCTTTTTTTTTCCTCCAAAAAATGAAGATTCAGCTTGACCAACACATTTTGCCAATTACGCCAAACTGTTTCAGTCAAAAAAATAAAAATTTCCCCACAAATGTTGAAACATTTCATTTTGACACTTTCCAAATGAAACATTTTGATTTTTCAGGCATGATTCAAGAAGAGATCTACATGCCATTGATAAAATGGAAGAGGCAGTGGAGCCTAGTGGGTAGGGCATTCACCAAGAGCAGGGACACTTGGTTTCTAGTCCCTACTTCAATGAATATTTTATTATTTACACATACTGGAACGGCTTCAATAGGAGAAACAGAGAAACTCAGGCCAGAATAGCCAACAATCTGGTGGCTAGGGCATTCACCGGGGGATCAAATCCCTCCTTCAGAGCAGGGTCTCAAACCTGGGTCTCCCATTTCCAAGGTGAATGCCTTAGCCAATGAGCTATTAGGTACAAGGAGGGCACCGCTACCCCCACCATCTCCTCTGTTTTGTGAGCAGTGCCTAAGCCCCTTGGTGAATCTAGCCCTTCAGTTCAAAATTTCCTTTGCTTTTATTAAAAAACACTAAGCATGCCTGAAATCAAAACAAAGACATTTTGTTCAACCCAAAACCATTTTTGGCCAAAAATTCTGAAAAATTTTAGTTTTGGGTTGATCCAAAAGAATTTTTTTCCGATTTCTCAAAATTGCAACAAGCCAAAAAAATCAGTTACTTGCACAGCTCTAGCAACACATTAATGCTCAATCAACTGCAAATGAGAACAGTAGTAGCTACCTACTTGCTACCCGAGCATGGCACTGCGGACCATCTCAAATCCTACATATTTTCAGATTTTGCTTATAGTAAACATAATTACCACCACTTTACAGATGGAGAAGCCAGAATATAGCAGCAGCCATGCCAGAGCCCAGGGAAAGGACTTCTCCCCTGATTCCACACAGACTCCAGTGTGCAGTCCAGCCAGACATACAGTGTACTACTTCCAGGATTTTCCTTATGTAGGATAATAACTTCCTTTTTACATTTTTGCAGAAGGACATATAAAGGCAGTTTATAAATATAGAGTAGTATGCTTTGTAATGAAATGACTGACGGCATTAACTACGGCATAGTTTCATTCATCTTTAAATACTCTGTAGTACTGCACCTTTAGTGCTGTGGGTGCAGTAGAAAGCCTTTCATTATTATTTCCATAATAACGAAATACAAATTGGAAAGACCTTGTAGTCCACCCCAGCCTCCAAGACAAGATCCATATTTAGACATCAGCATAATTCATTCATTGGTATAGGAATCTAGCTCTGTGATTGATGATTGTCCATGTCAACTTTAAACAAAAATGTGTATGTGGGAGGAGCATACTATGGAAGATGATAAGTATGCAAAAAGCTGTGCAGAGATGGCAATGTCTATTTCTGATCCATGGTTCAGAAAAAAAACCCGGGAAAAATTTACGTACCACAAAAACGTATTTACTGGTTTGTCAAACTACCATCTTTCCCACATGATTTTAGAAACCAGTATCTGGACAAGCTGTCAGAAGCAAGGAATAATGGTCTCAAGTTGCAGTGGGGTAGGTTTAGGTTGGATATTAAGAAAAACTTTTTCACTAAGAGGGTGGTGAAGCACTGGAATGGGTTACCTAAGGAGGTGGTGGAATCTCTTTCCTTAGAGGTTTTTAAGGTCAGGCTTGACAAAGCCCTGGCTGGGATGATTTAGTTGGGGATTGGTCCTGCTTTGAGCACGGGGTTGGTTAGATGACCTCCTGAGGTCCCTTCCAACCCTGATATTCTATTATTCTCAGCAGAAAACAATGATTTATGCCATTTAAAAACAAGGATTCCTGGCCCTTGGATACGATTGATTTCTATTTTCAAACTGCATTAGGATTCTGTTCCTGATATACAGTGACAGAATTTGAAAGGTATACAAGGTGAGAAGATTTTGGGACTGGGATGGAATTTATGTAATTATGGTATATTAAATAAGGTCTAAAACTTCTCGTGTAAAAAGACATTACACATTTACATTCAAACAATGCCTTCATTTTCTCAGATATTCTCTAACATTCTACTATGCTACTTCCAATATGGTAGAAAACTAAATAGATAAATAATGCCTATCAATTATTTATTTGGCATATGGAATCCGGATGAGCCAAGCCACACCGTTCTTATCAATGATGTTCAAGGCAGGAAGACCTCCAGGAAGTTGAGTCATTTTGGAGTCCTCAACAATACGTGTCATGGTTTGTGGCTGCCCACATTGACATAGTCTCTGAAACGTCACCGAAATTCTGCTGCAGCACAAATTCTATGTCTGGTACAAACCCAGTTCAGAAGGTTCCATTGCCTTTGCAGTAAATCAAACCCTCGCTGACGTTGAGTGGGGTCCAAGAGAAAATAATTATCTGTCATTTTCTCTGCAGACCAGAAAGCTTGCCATTGATCCTCTACTGTAAATCCCTCACCCAGTAAATTTATCCACAACAGGTGGCATGAGGGCAGATGACCATGTGGTGGATTAAATGAGTTTTTAATTAATGGCAGATGTGGCATATCAAGCAATTTGGTCACAAGCTTTGCTACGCTTTCCTCTCTGCAAACACTGGGTGGAGCAATATTGCAGAGAGCCAGTAACCATGGTAGAGCAATAGATTTAAGTGTGCCTGAAGTAATACGCATGGTGGAATTTAGTTGTAAATTGATCATCATTGTGTGAGACGAGCAAGCCCATACTGGAGCATACTACTCTGCCACTGAATAACAGAGTGCCAAGGCTGGAGTGCGTAAAGTTTGGGCATTGGCACCCCGTGTCGTTCCGGCCAGTTTTCTGAGCTAGTTAGTCGCTGTCTTTGTAGGATGGTCACACTGTGCGAGAGTTCTATCCAACGTGACACCAAGACTGACTGGGTAGGAATCATGCTTTATTCTCTGACCACTGACAACTATGTTCAGCTCTCTGCCCACTTGTGCATGATGCAAGTGGAAGACACTTGATACAGTCTTACTTCCACTTGGTATCAAGGTGCCACCGATGACAATAATCGGTCATAGCCATCATATTTGCATTCAGAACATTCTCAAGTAGGTCAAAGGAGTGTGACTGAGTGCTGAGACTTATGTGGAGACATAAACAAACTTGCAAGACCCAATATACGGTAAGTCATATGAATAATACCTATCAATAAAATGAAGTTAATAAGGGACCATTTATCACCAGTTGTAATAAATCAGGACTTGGCCTGACAGTAAGACACTGTCAATGAAGGCTGTGCATGTTTTTCTTTTGAAACTATAACAACTTATTGATTCCATGATTAATTAATAAAAGGATACTAAATTACTGTACCTATAACACACACATTTTTTACTTTAATTTCTACCAAAATACCCACAGCTTTGGATGGTGGTTCCATACCTTTTTGTTTTATCCAAGAGAAAAACCTATCTCAGCTATGGAAACATTTTCAGTGTGTTCTGCAGACACCTTACTTTTCAAGCTGCTTTTGAGGAGAGGGCTCATGCACAAATTCACCACTTAGCAGACCAATCTGCCTAATTAGATAGTACTAAATATTAGTCAAGTTGGTAAATGTAGCCTCATCTCAGCAGCTGATTGCTGAATTTGAAAACTATCAGGGAGCAACAGCGCACAAAGTGCCAGCCAGTTCAGTTTTAGGCAGGATGGGCAGTCAGGGACTTGAAAGGTGACATTCCAAAAAAAACATGTAAAATCAGGAGTTCCCTATTGAAATCAACGGCAATACACTGATGTAAAACTGACTGAGAGGCACATCAGGCTCTTTAATTTTTAAAAGTATAAAAATTTTCAGTAAAGACAGGTTTGACCCAAGTTTGTCTGGCATCAAAAACTATACAGCAATTTCCTCTCAGTTCTACAGACTACAACCTATTTCCTGCAAAGCAGAGGAGGAGGAGGAAACCAATAAAGATTTACGGATATAGGTGGAAAAACAAAGAAAACAATGCAATTGCCTCTGGAGGATGCTGTATGGCCCTCAAAGTGCACAGAGACATGAGATAAGATGTGACGGCCATGACTAGAAATTACACTGGTCAAGGTCTGGGACTTGCTTTATTAAATCCAGGACCAGCGCCAAAATAGCAATGCTAGACCCAGGAACCATGCCCATACCCCACAATCAACAGAAGAGGGATCCTGAATGGACCACAGGTGATGTACACAGTGCCTGGGAGGAGAGGGGGAGCAGCGAACGCAGGAGCACATATCTGGCTGGAGAGGGGAGTTGCCCCACCCCAAACAGCCTCCTTCCCATTGGCTGGGGATGGGGTAACAGGCTAGCCAATCAGCTTTTGTGCCCCCTTCCCACACTTACTTAAACTCTCGCAGGCTTTTCAAAAGTCTCTTGCTCCTGCTACTTACCCAGTACTCCCTTCTCCTTAGCTGCAGTGTAGCTGCTGCAGTTTTTAGGATGCTACAGGTCTGACCAACTGCCTGTTTTGGGATCAAGAGGGAATTTTTCCTATTGAACCAAATTGGCAAGAGGTCTAGTGGGGTTTCTTTCCTGCCTTCCTTACAACATCATGGTCAGGACACATCATCACAGTCAGGATACAGCATTAAGACTTAGAAGGTTCATATTAGGAAGGACTGCTTAGCTCATCTCTACTTGTAGGCAGTGTTCCAGTGCAGATAAGGCTAAAAGGGAGCATTGCCAAGGGG